ATTATGTATGACTATATATTATTGTGAACTATTTATCATGTCATGATGTATTATTATCTATTATGGTGGACTATTATGTCATGTCATGATGTATTATTATGGACTATATATTTTACTATTATTGTCATGTATGGTGCCAATGTCTAGAACGAAAACTTGAACTATAGAAGTAACAACAACGTGGGGCATGCCTTCGAAAGTTCCAAATCCAATTAGCACAATTGATCGTTCAAACCATAACAACATCAACCAATAACACACTCAATTGTTCAAACCATAAGTACGTCGAAAAAAATAATAAACATCAAACAATAACACACTCAATCGTTCAAACCATAACAACATCAACCAAATTACATAGCATATCGATTACCACTACTTCCTCTTCTACCACCTCTCGCACGTCTACCACTTCCTCTTCGCTGGCTCCCACTGCCACTTGCTCCACCACCAAAAGTGGATGCATCATGTCCACCTACTTCCTCTCTTGGCCAATCCATCTCGTTGTGAATTCTTGTTGTTCGTGGCCTCCCCGACTTCCTAATCATGTGCACGTTAGGATGGAGAGTAGAGCCATTGTGCTTCTTCCACCCCTTAGGTTTTCCAAGAGGTGTGGAACTTGTCCCATAACAAGCCAATAATGTTTCCAGCTTATAGATGTCGTCTACAAACTTATACGGGTTAGCCCCCATTCGGTTGCAAGCTGCAATGGCATGAGAGCAAGGAATTTTTTTTCCTTGTAATTTCCCACAAGTGCAAAATCTCGCTCGATTGTGGTCATCGAAATGCACTGTGAGTGTGTTCAAACCCGTCATGTTGAAATTGTTGGGAGGAGTCTGTACTACATAGATGCCCTGACGTCGATCAACCCCCGTCACGAAATGTCCAACTGCCTTTTGTGCCCACGGCTTCATCAGGTCACATGGGTTTGTGAACTGTGACTTTCCCACTTCTGATTTGTGCTTCTTTCTCCAACCTCATCTTATCGAATTTCTCCAATAATCGCCAATAAGTATGTTCCACAAGAGAAGCTATAAGAAGTGAACGAATACCTTTGAAAACACCATTGATGCTCTCTGTCATGTTGGTCGTCAGCGTACACCATCGACGCCCACCATTATAGTTATCATGTGCTAAGCTCCAACGAATTTTATTTGATCCACCCAGTTATCACAAGAAATATTTCTTTCAACGACCATCTTCTTAAATTGCTCAACTTGACGGTCAGACTTCTCCAAGCGTTTTTCTCGGGCTAACAAAATAAATAATCACACGAGTTAGATAAATTCATGATAATATTAAATTAAATAATACGTCGAAAATCAATAACAATAACGATGAAGAGACTTACCGACTCGAACTAGTTGGTTATACATAATTTTGTTTTTTGTTTTCTTTTGCAAGTTGCTTGCATAGTATCGCATGCTCCATCTCCACTCCCAGCCTCTTGCGATGTTACTCATGGCTTCATAGAGTCCAGCATGTCTATCTGAGATGATGCAGACATCGTTTCGATCGGTCAAATCTTGAACGTGTCTTATGAACCATGGCCAACTATTAGTATTCTCTCTCTCCACTATGGCAAATGCAATTGGAAAAATCTTTTTCCGGCCATCAAATGAGCTCGCCATGAGTAGCACTCCTTTATACTTTCCAGTAAGAAATGTTCCATCAACAACCATGACTCCTGGACAATTCTTGAATCCATCTAAACAAGGTCCATAAGCCCAGATTACTCGCTGGAAGATCAAATGACCTGGTTGCGATGAAGGAACTTTCACCCAATCAATCACTGATGTTGGCATTTTTCTCTTGACAACCCCCAAGAATGTTTGCAAATAATCGTAAGATTCTTCCCAATTTCCATGCAACTTCTCCAATTCCCTTTGTTTCACATACCAAGTCTTCTTATAAGTAACTTGCATATTAAATTTATCTTTCAACTCGGGTTGCACAGTTAGAACACTCAGATTTGGTTGGGCACGTACCAAATGTTTCACGGACTCAGATATAACGTCGACATCAAGATTGCGATGATCTGTCGGTTGAGTCGTACTGCTACAAGAATGCACCAACTTGGGCTTTCTCACAGTCCATTCGCTTCCAACGTCTCGACATCCAAACCGCACCATCCAAGGAATATTGTCATCCTTATGCTTCAAGCATCTAACCTTCCAGATTGAAGGTGACGACTCCACCACGCCATACTGAAAGTTTCGTTGTAGTACGTGGTGTTTAACCGCCACCTGTGCATCTTGTTTCGAGTGAAATATCTAGCCCTTGTAGAATTCTCCTTCAAAACCAGTAGCAATAGGCATTGGAATTACGCCATTTGAATCAACATATGATAGTTCATCATCCTTTTCATTAGCCTGCAAGTAAAAACATGGAGGATAATTAAGCTGCTCATCTTCCCCATCTTCCTCCTCCTCCTCGTCTTCGTCGTCATAATCATGATCAGATGGCACACTCCATGTATCATCTTCACCTTGATCAGCCTGTCTAATCTCAACATATATCTCGGCACCCAAACAATAAGGATTTTGTGCCATAAAATCGAAAAGCACATTCAAACCATCATCATCCACAATAGGCATCTCATAATGAAATAGAACACCATTCTGCCATTCTGGAAGACGGTAAGTGAAACCTATGATCATATCACTATCTTGTACTGTTTCGTCTCTACGCCGTAGTTTCAGGATTAGATTCTCACAAAATTGATGATGTGTCACTCGACAGGGAACTTTCAACTAAAACCTTCTACCACCAGCGAAATGGATGCCCAAATTGTCCTATACTTTCTTCGATTTCCACCAAACAATTAGTTCAAATCTCCTAAAATCACTACATAACAAACAAATTCACTAATTTCTAACTAAAGAAAATTATAAGAGCATTTTAATAATATAATTACAAAAATAAATGAGTCTCTTACCTAGCCATCTTTGCAGAAACCAACAAAGCTCCTCCCTCTCGTTTTCGTATAAGTTTTTGGTGTGGTGATACCTAAAGGAAGAGAGTGGAGGAAGATATATATGATGGAGTGGGGTAAAGAAGGCTGCGAATCCGCATGAGACTAATGCGTGCCCGCTGGTCAAAGTTCAGGGAATCTGTCAGCGCACTTTATAAGAAACCCAGCGTCTCCGCACCAGTCCCACGCGGGTCCACCCTTTTTACGTCAAAATACAAATGATACGGGTCCGCATCAGTCTGATGCAGAAACACATGTCTTCCCCACAAAAACACAATATCTATGTCAATTAATTTAAAACCACCATAAAAGAGTGTACGCCGCTCTATCTCTCACCCCTCTTTACGCCTCCCTCGACCCCACGCTTGAGAAACTTCGACTCCACACCAATCCAATCCCAGTCAAGACGCGACGGTGACGACCAATGACCATGACTCCACTCTCTCTCACTGTCGCTCTTCCCCATGCCTTTCATCGCAACGAGACAAGATCAACATTGCCGACACCACAAAAAGAAGAAGAAGAAGAAGAAGAAGAAGAAGAGGAGGAGGAGGAAATCAGAGGAGAAGTAATTCGAACAAGCAACAACCGTCGAGGATTCTTGGTTCGCTCAGCGGTGGCGACGATGAAGACGCTGGCGGTGAGTGATTGTGCATGCAAGAAAGGAGAATAGAGGACAGATTTTGGAGGTGAGGCAAAGCAGGCCTGGCGACCGCAGAGTAGCCACCGACAACCATGAACGATGTCGGGCGCTAGAGGCAGATCGAGAGGGAACAAGTGGGGTTTCTGCCTTTCTGGTCCGGTGAGGGAAAGAAGAGAGGGGCGGCGGATATGGAAGATGAGGAATCAGGATTTAGGGGTTGTGTGGGTGGGGAGAGAGCCGAGAAGGATTCGATTTTTTATTTTTTTTTTATTTTCATTCAACGACGAAATCGAGTACCAATCCAATCCCGTCTTCGGTCACGGAGTTGCTCAATACGTTTTTAAAACCGGGTTAATCTGGCCCGGTTTAAATCAAATGGACTGTTTCCCAGTCCTAAAGATATGTAGGTAAAAATTCAAACATGCACCAGGACAACGTTCAAATATTAACCCTTAACAAACAGAAATTACAAATGTTGTTCACGCAAGAATATCAAATAGGAGGTCTTTGTTATGTATGTATTGGAATTACTTACAAAGTACCAACTACTTTGGTCGTATTTTCTTCAATTTGGCCTCCAGCAAATGTTATGGTCATGCCGAAACCATAAATTGTAGGGTGATATCTCTTTGTCTAGCAACACATTGTTGGTCCTTACGTACATGTGAATAATCCTAAGTCTGGAATCCTGATGGAGATATAGAAGCCTTCTTGTCATTATATTTAGGACCGAAGGCATAAAATTGTAGGGTACTATCTCCTTATCTAGCAACACATTGTTGGCTCTTACATATATGTGGATAATCTTTAGCCTGGAATTCTGATGGAGATATAGAAGCCTCCTGCTCATTGTATTTAGGGCTGGAGATACAAAGGCCTTCACATTTTCCCCTCCCTATATAAATACTCATATGTTCATCCATAGCAATGTAAAACAAAACATGAGAACTCTTCAGTCTCTCTGGAGCTCCATTAGTTTACAATTTACGTAACTTCGTAGTAGTTTTTGCTGAGGGAAGAATGCAAAGCTGCTGATAAATTTGTTGGAAATAAAAAAGCCTTTGTTTTTTTATAACTCAAATGTATTGGTGGGAGAGCTCGTTGGTTGAGCTAGACAAAATGGAAGAAAGGTTTTTTTTTTAATAGAAGGAAAGGTGGGGGGGGGGGGGTAATTGCAAGGATGGTCACTGGGTTTATTAAAAACGTTCATGTTTGGTCACTGTAAATATTTAATTCCATTCATGGTTACTAAGATTAGTTCAATAGTTCAAATTTGGTCACTCTCCGTTAGTCTCCGCTAGTTTTTGCTGATGTAGCAGTCAACTATTATAGTTAACCGTTAAATGAGTGACGTGGCCATTAAAAATATTAAAATAATAAAATTTAAATATTTATAATTTCCACCTTGTACATTCGAGATATGTACATAAATCTCCACTCTTGTACATTCTCCGTAACAGAAGGACTCGAGATTGTGCGCGAATACTTCGATGTTGCGCACGTCCCACAGCACATCTTCAGATTCAGCAATTTGATCCCGGAGATTCTCAAGCGGACGGGGTGTTCCTCCTCGCCATCATCTTCACAGTCACCTCTCCAGCTGCAACGATTCAGGGATAGATCGTGTAGATTGGGAAAATCGGCGAACGGGTCGAGCCAGTCGATGCTGCCCTGGCAATACACCTGGCAGCCCTCCAAATGCAGAGTCGTGAGCATTCTGAAAGCAGGGGAACCGAATCCCACTTCGTTAAAATAATTCCAAAGCTCTCCATCCTCATCGGCGGAGCAAAAGTGTCGAATCTCATGCGAGGCCGCGTAATCGAAGAGCCTCTGGTACATCGAGAAAGACTCGCTGAAAGAATGGTCAAAGGCGCCCTTAATTTCCAAGTTGATTTCGTCGACTGGGGCGGAGTCGTAGTGGCGGGAGAGGATTTTGGAGACGAACTTGTTGAAGCTATCGCCAGTATTGTTGAAGGATTTGGAGTCCAAATTGAGGGCAGGGACGCCTTTCCAGACGGATCTCCAACGCCAGGAGAGAAGGCAAGTTTGGACGGCGAATTTCGAGTCGACGAAGGAGAGAACGCGACGGAGGAGATGGTTGGGGAGTTCACTGAGCCTATCTTCGATCTTCCCAGCTTTCTTTCTGCGTTTACATGTAGGAAAGTATGAGTTGTCGTTGATCATCATTCGTTTGCTTGCTTTCTCATCCCCGCCGATGAGTTTCACAAAACCCTAATCGAAGCTTTCTCTCCGATCGTGTTTCAGGTACAAAATGGCGTGAGAAACAATTTTAAGTGGTTCAGTATGGAATTGGCTAGGAAGAACGGTAGGAGGGATCAGAATCGCGGTGGCGTAGATGGCGGAGGCCATCTATTAAGTTTTATTTTTATTTTTTAATAGTTGTAAAATGAGGTGGAAATTGTAAATATTTAAATTTTATTATTTTTTTAATGGCCACGTCACTCAGTTAACGGTCAACTATAATAGTTGACTGCCACATAAGCAAATACTAACGGAGACTAACTGAGAGTGACCAAACTTGAACTATTGAACTAATCTTAGTGACCATGAATGGAATTAAATATTTGGAGTGACCAAACATGAACGTTTTTAGTAAACCCAATGACCATCCTTACAATTAACACGAAAGGTGGGCGGCAGAGAGCTTTTTGGAGAGGACAATGAGAACTTCTTTTATTTTTCACTTCTTTCTTTGTTTGGCTCTATTTCTTAAGAGCATTACATCAATTCAATTGCAAAATTAATTGCATATATTATATTTATTGTTAATGTGGACACCCTATTTTGTCCTGGCTAAATTACTTTTGATTTTAGACGTTTGTTTGAGGGCGACAATCGCTAATCATAAATGTTTTTCTAAAGGCTATTACAAGATGTTTGGAGAGAAGGTGAGTGGGTCTTGGATCATTTAAGGTTAGCAAGTGACTTGCATGTAAGTTGTTGGTGTTCTGGTGAATTCTTGAAGTGATCGTCTATTGCCATCATACACCAAAGCATACTGAACATGCGGGATTCCGTGAGTAGGAGAGGGTTTGAGATGCCCAAAAAGCCATACCACGAGCAGGGATGTGCACCCATATAAGTAACCTTCTCCAGATCGACGACATCCATTAAGAGCGATGAAAGTCTCAGATAGTATTGAGGTGAGGGGATTGGCATTTTTTGAATCTTGGTGGAGCACCTTTATGGCAAAGTTGTCGATGTTTTAGGGAATGTTGGGATAGAGTATGAACTTATACATAAACAGAGCAAACACTTTCATTTGGTTTTCACCCTTTATTGTTTTATTGAGGTATGGCATGAGTTGATTCATATGTACTCGTTCTGGTCCTCCGCTTGACTCTATCATGTTTTGAGCTTGTTCTTTGTCGATCGCCAATATCTCTGACAGTGCCTTCTTTGTATTCAGATTTAGCCGGTTCATATATATCTTGTACGGCTAGCTTACATTTATTTGCAGGATTGACTGGTATTCTTCTAGCAGTGGGGAAAAGTCCAATTCATTGATAGAGAAACATTTGTAAAATGGGTCCAATGATTTAGGATCTCTCGGATCATGTTGGCATGGACGACACATCTAGCATATCACCCATTCGCCCATACTTCTGTTCAAATGCCTCTTTTTCTCCATGTGAGAATTGTTGTCATGCTTGCTTCAATATGTGAATTGGGTTGTCAATAATCTCTACTGGTCCCATAGGTCGAAGTTCAATTCTTTCCATTAACCTGTCTCCTCTCTCTTTTTGACCATCAATTGATTCATCCATCACATTGTTTACTTCTTCAACCATTGGATTTGCCATCTTGTAATAATGGAGTTTCGTAACGGAAATTTTATCTCGTGACAAAACCTAATCATGAGATTATCCGTTAGTACCAATATTAACTTTTAACAAATGCATATGTATGTATGTATGTATGTATGTATGTATGTATGTATGTGTGTTGTATGTATGTAGTGTTATGATTGTCGCGCACAGTTAAAATTGAATTACTCGTGTAGACGTTAGATACAAAAGCACACTTTTTATTAATACCGAGACAAACTTCGGTCATTTACATAATATATACAAAGGTGGCATCACTTGCCACTCTATCCCGAGCATCTTCTCCATTATAATAAATGGAAAAGGCATCAAGACCTCACACTTCTTTCTCAAAAGGGGTATTGGAGAAAAAATCTTCCGAAAGAGTCGACCTTCCTTCTATCGATCGACGTCCTTACCAAACTCATTCTACTTCTGAATCAGTGGGAGCACTGGCTCCTCGAGAATCACCTCCTCAACGAAAGACTGTTCGGTTAAATAAGTGTGAGATGCTGCCACTCGCCTTCCAGACCATAATCGGTTTCTTCTAGTAGGTTGCTTGTCATGGTTAGTGTTGGTAGGTTAAACTCCTTGATCCTTCCATCATGAGAGAGGAGGTAAGAGGAGGATCGCAACCACCGTTGGGTTATTGTGCTCTGACCATCGTTGCCGACGTCGAGCCTTTTCTATTTGTCAATCGTTTTCTATTGGAGAGAAGAGAACGAGAGATAAGAGAGGAGGGAGAGCGGCGTGTAGGTTAGAAAAATCATCTAGGGTTTCGGTTTTTGGCTTATGATAGAGTTATATAGTCTCGGGGCAAAAAGAACTAAACTACCCCTCCGATGTTTTCAAAAATTACGTCAATCACCACCACCTTCTTCTACTTTAAACGACCAAAAATAAAACCCTTCCCGGTTTAGAACCAATGACCTAACATTCGAGTTTATTGCACAATCAACGCTCTAAATCATTTGGCCGATCGCATATAACTTGTTCTGTATTATACTTTAAATAGACCATGATGACATTCTCGTATGAAGTCTCAAATTGGATTTCCAAAGGATCAAAATCTATTCCACCTATTTGAAAATATCAAACCCAACACATGTCAATAGAATGTGTTAGGTTTTCATTTTACCAAAAACCTTTCTTCATAAAGTCGAACTACATGGACTTTGATCCCGATTAACTCGAGTACGTAGGCAACCAATAGGTTCGAGTCCAACCAATCTAAAAATATTTTTTTTTACGTCAATAGACGTGAAATTATCAAGTAACTACAACGATTCAAAATTTACGCTAATCATATAGTCCAATTGGACTCTAAAAAATACACTAAAAATAATTAAAAATAATCGAATGTTACAATTAAATACACAAATAAGCCGCAATTAATAACACAACCAATCTTTAATAACTTATCGATCCAACTTCCAAGTAGTACCGTTCTAGGGCGTAGTGGGGTGTGAATACCCTTCGCCACCCATAACCGTACTCTCGAACCTAGAAAATCTAGAACTTTCGCATATCAGATTTCTGGTTTTAATCTTAATAATAAAAATCGGGAAAGGGTGTTCAACCCACCCCAAAGCGCGGTCAATGACGACTCTGAAATAAATCACAAACGGATCCCCAATTCGGAGGGGAGGTTGCGACAGTTAACTCAACAATTATACAATCCAACTCATTTAAATTTAATCTACCTATATCAATGCAATTCACTTGTAATTGCAATCCATAAAATAATACACATAAAATATATTTTATACTATTTAAATAACATTAAAAAATATATTTTATACTATTTATAAATATTTAATAATTCACTTGCAATTATACAAGCCACGATGAATTGCATCTAGGCTTTTTTTTTTTTTTGCAATAAAGGAGGCCAAAGCCAAGAAAACAGGGGGAATTACAGAGCTGGAGCCGCCATCACTTGGCGCTCAAAAGAAACACCCATTACATCATCTCGGAGGATCTGCGCTACCTCCCTAGGTTGGTTAGAGAGTTCATGCATACTGTAGGGATAGACAAGACTGTGCTTCGAGAGCCAGTCCGCGACTCTATTCCCTTCTCGGTACGTATGAACCACTCTAACTAGCCAGTTCTGAGCAATTCTCCTTCTAATCGCGCCAAGTAACAAAGCATAAGGGTAAACAGGGTCTTGTCGGTTGTTGATCAACTAAATGGCCAGCTGAGAGTCGGATTCAATCACAAGATTCTCGCATCTAAGCTTCCACGCCAGATTCAGACCATGATAGAACGCCCAAAACTCCGCTTGGACCGCCGTCGTCTCGCCAATCTTCGCTACAAAACCTGCAATCCATCTTCCCTGCTCATCTCTGATCCCCCCACCAGCTCCCACCGTTCCTGGGTTGTGACACGCTATGACACAACACCAAACTGCGACCAAGTGTAATCGCAGTCCAGGAATGCAGTAAAGTGCCTACTCCGTGAATATCTATTATCTAGCCAACTAAGTCGATTGATTGTGGTTATAACTAAAAGCAGTAAGAAAGCAGGAAATGATTCGGTTTTCTAAAGCAAAGGAAGAGTCACTCGGGAATGAGTCCCCCTAGCTCCTTAGTTAGGTTTCAGTTGTAATTACCCTGGGTTGATTTACTGTTGATTAAACTGCGGAAGATCCGACAGTAGCTTGGAATCTCTTAAGCTGACCAAGCTCTTTCAGTCTAACTACCCGGCAAACGACTAGTCTTCACCGGGATAGAAAGTTGAAGCAATAAGCACAGAATTCCACTACTGGAATTGGATTCCAGTACAAAGCAGTAGACTGACTAACTCTCGTATAGCCAATCTATTACTACCGAAGGATGAAGCTCTAACAACCTAATTAGATTCTATCTATCTCAGGCTGCAACAAAAATCAAGAAAAGCTGATCAAACTTCAATCAATTCAATGAATCATACATCATTCAATTAAAACCAAACAGTATAGCAATCCCAAGTCATTACAATCATGATCCCTAACACATGGAACTAGGGTTCTTCATACCCAAGTGAAAGAGGGTTCTACTCCATAAAGAGAGAGAGAGAGAGAGAGAGAGAGAGAGAGAGAGAAACATAATACAAAGCAATCATACTCATAACAATGGGAAGAATCTGTTCTGGGATGATGATTTTCACTCCTATGATGATCTCCAAGCTCGATTTGATGAAACCCAGCTCCATGATCGCTTATAGGATGTGTTCTTCGCACTTTCTCTCTCTAGGGCTCTGTTTTTGCTCTGAAAAGTCGATCCCCTCACTTGTGGCTCGAAATTGGGTTAAAACCCAGAATTCCCGACTCACACGGGCAGGCCACACGGCCGTGTGGCTTACCCAGATGCCCGTGTGAGTGTCAAAACGCGGAGTTTTGATTAAGTGGACTTCAGGCTACCTACACGGCCAGGGACACACGGCCGTGTGGAATCTCCAGTATGCCCGTGTGAAGCCTCGGTAAATCCCACACGGCCACATGGGTTCATTACACGGTCGTGTGGGTTTTAGGAGTGCCCGTGTGGCTTCCTCAGCGTCTCGCCACACGTCCGATCTTCGTCCAATCGACCCCGAACTCGCTCCCAAACCTTCATTCACGTACTAGGACCTGAAATATCACAAACAAGAACAACATAGCGTGAAATCGGCCTAAAACACAAGAATCAACATCGCAAATGGTGTAAGATTAGGAGTAAAAACATGTGCAATTAACGGTCTATCAGGTTGCCTGCCGAAGCTCCGTCGATGTTCAACTTCCGCTAGCCTGTAGTGGGAGGGAGCCACCCGATATGCTCCATGGTTCTTCCTGCACTCACGTTCAATCTGCATGGATTAAGAGAAGGTGCATTCCACGCCTTATGCCATAGAGTGGTCTTCTGTGGTATCGAGTGAGCCAACGTTGGTGATCTAAAGGCCTTGCTAGCCCCACTGAAACACGTCGTACATCTGTTCTTCCATATCAGCCAGATTGCAATACTGAAGAAAGCTTGCAAGCTCATTTCAAACACAATGCTTTCTTCGTTGCATATGTTACTGCGGAGCCAGCTGTCTTGAATCAAGTTGGAAGAACTTCGTCTGTCTATCGGCCGAAACCCAGCGTGACCAGCAAAAACGTGCAGGCTAGCAATCTCGCAGCATGTGGAGCACCGTCTCCAGACTGTCGTTACACCGGTAGCACATCGGTGAATTGGTGCATTTCCTGCAAAAACACAAAACATTGATAGCAATCCGCCCAAGAGAAACTAACCATGCAAAACATCTCACCCGTTCCGGCGTTGGGAGCTTCCATACACCCTTCCAAATCGGATCACTATGCTCCGACTGTATGGGCTGAAGGAGTTGGTATGCCATCTTCGTCGAGAACTAGCCATCTGCCAAAGGCGTCCAGAAGATCTTGTCTGCTACTGGGGACACCGGATCGACCATAACTGAAGTTATCTTCTTTAGTAACTCCAACGAGAGCCATTGTGAGATATGACTGGTATCCCAACGTCCATCCTCATCCAAATAAGAAGCCACTGTTCTCGATCGCTCCTCCTCAGGGACTGGTCTCATAGCTCTGTCTATGATCGGTTCCTGCAAAATCCAGTTATCCAACCAAAATCTAGTGCTTTTACCATTGTGAATGTTCCAGGCACAACCTTTCCTCAAGAGGCTAGCCGCTTTGTTGATACTCATCCAAGCAAAGAAGCTCCCCTGCAGGGTCGAAACATGTTCAACTCCTCTATATCCTTTCCATACTTCGATCTCATAAGTTGAGTCCAGAGGGTGTCTCTCTCCCGCAGAATACGCCACCCTCCCTTTGCTAACAGTGCCAGATTGGCATGTCGGAGAGACCGAAGACCACCTCCCCTGCTTCTTTGGCTCTGTTAGTTTCTCCCATGCCACCAAGTGCATCTTACCCTGGTTCTCTTCCTTACCCCATATAAGCTCCCTGTTAATCCTGTCAATTGTGTTGCAAACATTAACAGGAATTAAATCAGTTTGCATAGTGTAAGTAGGGATAGCCAAGGATACGGATTGAGAAGCTGTCAGCCGCGCAGCTAATGACAGTCGTTTTGCTTTTCAGGGGGCGAGTTTCCTCTAAATCTTCAGAATGAGCTCTTGGTATCTGCTTCGGGTTACCCTGCTATGAATGGTTTGAATTCCCAAATACCGCCCGAGTTCTTTTGTCAAAGGAATAACAGCTTTGTCACTCAACCTTTGAGCTCGAAGAGGACAGACATTGGGAGAAATGTACATCATGGACTTGGAGTAATTCACTTTCTTACCAGAGCTCTCACAGAACTCGTCAAGGCATTAGCGAATGATCCTCACCTGAGCACCCTCAGCACCTGCAAACATAATCAAATCATCGGCAAAAAAAAAGGTGAGTAAGCTCCAGACTGCCCTGCGAAATGCTTAGGGGTTTCCACAGCTTTTCGTGGACGGCCTGATCAATTCTGTGAGAAAGACGCTCATACAAAGAACGAAAAGATAAGGAGAAAGAGGGTCTCCCTGTCGCACCCCCTAGTCGGGGAAATGGGTTCAGAAAGTTTGCCATCCCAAAGGATCCTCATCCGGTTCTACTCCACACAAAACATAATGGATTGGATCCAAGAACTCGGCAACCCAACTTCAACCACCGTATCTCTCAAGAAATCCCATCGGAGCCTATCATAGGCCTTCTCCAAGTCAATCTTGATCACCATGCCACCCCTCTTCCCTCGTTTCTTCCTCAGAGAGTGCATGACCTCTTGAACTACAAAAATATTATATGCAGTTTGCCGGCCCAGAATAAAACTACTTTGGCGAGGGGAGACAAGCTTCATCATGATCGCTTTAAACCTACTCGTCATGGCCTTAGTAATGGCCTTCAAGCTCACATTATCCAGAGAGATGGGGCGGAGCTGAGTCACGTATTCCGACTTTTCAACTTTAGGAATGAGAAGAACCGTCGACTCCGAAATGGCTGCTGGCAAGCTCCCATTCTCGTAGAAAGAGAGGACCATTTTGGTAAGGGCTTTCCCAACAAGCCGCCAAGCCTGTTGATAGAAAATTGCTTGAAAGCCGTCAGGTCTCGGAGCCTGCATAGGTTTCATATCAAAAATAGCCTGGTGAATGTCCATTATCGAAAAAGGGCGAAGTAAGCAAAGCCAATATTCCTGCCCAAGCCGAGGGAAAGCTTCTTTAGGCATTAGATCAATGTACTGGGACGCCTCATGTAGGTAAAGGTTAGCGAAAAAATCAAACACAAGCTTAGCAAGTTCCTGCTTGTCCTGAATCCACTCTCCATTTTCATTTTTCAAACACTCAATCTTGTTTAGGCGGCGCCGAATCTTGGTCATTTGATGAAAATACGCCGTGTTTCTCTCGCCAAACTTCACCCAGATTTCCCGAGCCCTTTGAAACCAATACAACTCCTCTTATTCCATAGTTTTGTCCAGCTCCTCCTCGAGCTTGGCATGCAGCTTGGCCAGCCCAGGCTGGAAAGAAGTGGCTAAAATCCTTTCTATCCCTTCAATTCTCGCTACCAACCGTTTCTTGCGCTGGAACACATTGCCAAAAACCGATTTGTTCCAAGCCACCAAACTAGTAAAGAGCTCCTGCAAAGCCAAATGGAAATTATTACCCTGCCCATTCCAATTATTATTGAGAAAATTTTGGAAATCATAATGGGTTAACCACGCCGCTTCAAATTTGAACAACTTAGGAGAAGGGTGAGTACCTCCCTGAGTTGGCATAGTCGTCAGAATTGGGTTGTGATCAGAGCTCAACCGTGCCAGATGAACAACTGCCGTATTGGGGAAGAAGTCATTCCACTCAATGTTACAAAGACTCCTATCCAAACGACTTGCTCTGAAGGTCTACACCTGCCCGCCTCTACACCACGTGTGTTTCGGCCCAGAGAACCCAAGGTCAACTAGCTCCGCCTCATTAAGCCAGTCTCCAAATCTCATGCATCGTTGCAACATTCTCGCAGTAGCTTGCCCCGTCGTCTCCGATGGCGAAAGGATGGCATTGAAGTCTCCAGTGATAATCCATGGGCAATTTGTAGTTCTGCTTTGCTCAATAAGACAATTCCATAGGAGTTTTTGCAGTTGCTGGCGCGGCGAAGCGTAAACCGCCGTAAGCTTCCAACAACAATTAGCCTTCGATACCAAGAGGGTAAGGTGCTAAGGTCCTGCAAATTCAATCAATATTTTGAAATTCTTAGCATTCCAAAAGAACCAAATACCACCACTCCTGCCAGCTGCCTCCACACGGATGACATCAAGGTACCCCAACTTCTCACAAACTTTGTTTGCAACATCGCCACTAATCTGTGGTTCAATAAGAATAACAAAATCAGGTCTATGGAGCTGAAGCGCAAGCTTCAAAGAGCGGAGAAGGCATTGCTTCCAGCTCCCCCGACATTCCACGAGAAGATTTTAAAACCAAGTCTGTAATTTATCGACATAAAAATAAAATAGCACAGAAAGGGGAGAGGAGACACAAAAATCACAAAAGTGTGAACGTGGGCACCAGGAATTATTGAGGCAAGGTGGAAGAGTCTCCCTCCTTCCCGATCTCCTCTATGTTCATCGTATTTGCCTCAGCGACGATACTCGGTACGGAATCAGCCTTTGTCCCCGTCCTGTTCATCTCTGTCCAGTCTTGAATTTGTTGCAGAGTTAATGAGACTCGCTTCTCCTTGCTGCAACCTTTCCTCTCCTTCACCGGCGACCAGATTTTCAAAGGCTTCAGGGGGTTATGTCGGATCGGAGTTCCTTTCTTAGGGGTTGAGGACTTCTTGTAACTTCTTCCTTTTCCTTCCTTCTTAGTTTTTATCCGAGCCACCGCCGAAGGGGTTTCTAGATCGACGGTTCGAGGAGGGGGCGGCTTGTATGGCTGAACCTCGACTATCTGAATTTTTGTCCATTCGCACTCGAGACCACTTGGGTGGTTACCCCAATTTGGTTCGTCTGGTCAGGTCCTTTGCCAACCAAACCATTCGAAACACTAGCTGTAGGCCGAGCTCCATGGGCTGGAGACAATGGGTCATTTGAATTGAGAAAAACTTGAGTGGGCCTACTTGATGAGGCCTCCCCCAGGCTGGGCCTCGAACCCAGGATCTCTTTCGCATCGCTACTTACCTATTCCGAAACTTTACCTTTCCCTTTATTGTCCCCTTTACCTCCCCTTTCAGTCGCCACGATTTGTTTCTCCCCTGGTTGTTTTCGTTGCTTAAGCTGGATCTTCGGAGCTTTTTGCGAAGATGATTTTCTTGAGATTTCGGTTTCTTTCCTTTCTTCTCCATTTTTCATCCCGTTACTGATCGCCGGAGCTTTCTCCGACCTTCCTACTATGGTCGAGTCTCTATTATTTTGCCGTGATTTCCACGCCAAAATCATCCATGGCCCGTAGCCCGGATTAGTTTCCGACATGGTATCTCCAGCCACGACCACCACCGACGACTGACCCACGCTCTCTACACCAACATTCTATCCCCGATTGATGTTTGGGCAGGCAATCTTCGTATGGTCAACTTTACCACATTCAAAACAAACAACAAACAGATTTTCAAACTCGACATTTTGCCAACGGCCATCCACCCTGATCCTCGGCACCAGTGGTTTTGATAGATCGACTTCCACGGCCATTCGTGCAAACTTGGCCTGATGTTGATGCTCTGTATAATAGTCAAGTTTGATGGTTCATCCAATTATATTACCTAGCGTAAACATTAGCTCTTTGTGATAGAAATGAATCGGCAATCCAGGGAGCTGCACCCAGACTACCATAGTTTTAGGCAGACTATTCGTAACCCGAAACCCCGGTGTCCATTGTTGCACCAAGAGATAGTGATCGAAGATAGTCCAGGGACCCTTAGTGAGTGCTTTAAAGTAATCTTGATCATTACCAAACTTCACCAGAAAACAATCATCATCCAACGCAAAAACTTCCATTGCACTAGTAGGTCTCCAGAGGACGCGGATCATGTTGCAGATAGTTGCATAGCCAATGGTTTTTCCTAGGAGACGCACGACGAGAGTTCGTTGCCATGGCTTGCTGAGTTGTGATTTAAACTTGTCCGAGATCCTCAATTCTGGTTTGCCCTGAAAGTATCCTGTGATCAAATCGTGCTCCCCCACTGGAACCCAATGCGCCACAGGCGGCTTTGTCAAGGAGGTTCTCCCAGTTACCGCACCAGCGTAGGAGACCGACTGAGAAGGTTGAGATCTAGTAGTGGGGCTGCTCACCTCCACGATTCTGTTTGATCCCTGATCTGCGACAGTCATGGTCGTGAGCTGGTTTGCGTCATTAGCCATCCTCGCTGCCACCACCGTCTGAGGAGCAGCCGTCTGGGTTAGGTCAACTTGCATCTCTGCAGGGTTTCCCGTACCGATCGAACTAGCTATTGTCTCCATCACACCCGACGACGGCGAGTGTGCGAAATCTAGATGCGGGTCGTCCGGTGGCCGTCCCTTCAGAGCGGTGCTGGTCCCCGGAATAGAAAGAACAACACTGGTAGAATAGAGCATTTTTCAGAGCATTTTCACTGCAAGATGTTTTCATCTAGACTTTCATATCCACGTCATAATAAAAGTGGAAAGTGAAAGTAGATGTGAGTGCCCTTACAAGGCAATGTCCCAAGCCTATTCAATTATAATCTACTCTAAGCATCCACATCAATGAAATTGCAAAACTAATTTCATATTATTTTTATATTTTCATTTCAAAATTTATGCAATCCAACTCATTTTTATTTCATTGCTCCTAGCCTCCTACATCAACGCAATTCACTTGCAATTGCATATATGAGAGTTTAAATGACTTTATAATTATAAAATAAATTAATCAAGAGATAATTTTTTTCTATTTTTCCTATGTGGCTTTCATTTTAAATTTCATTTAATGCAAGTTTGCGTCATTTGCAATTGCTCACTATATTGGTACAATCCCCTTTGCAATTGCATATTGAGTGTCATGTAGGAGAAGAGAGGATAGCTAGAGTTGATGTTGGTAGCTGTCTGTAGGGTTATTTGGACTCACTATGCGGGCTCTGGGTTTTGGGCTTCATTTTTTTAACATCTGTTGGGGCTTTGTATGTGGGCTTTTTTCCCTTTTGATTTCTATTGTATCTTTCCATGGGTTTTACCCAAACTTTGTACCATGGTTGTCACGCCGGCCGGCGTGCCACCGGTTGTACCGGGTTCAACCGGTACCGGTCATAAAACCGGCATGACACTATCGGTATGACCGGCATGATCGATATACGAATCTCTAAGTAAAATTACATTATTTTAGAGAATTTAATTGATAAAAAATATTTTATTTTTTATTTTATGACTATAAAAATTAAATATTAATGTTATTTGTTGGATTCAAGTATAAATGTTTAGGTATTGACGTTAAATGCCATGTTTAAATATGAGTATTTATAATTTTATTTGTAATATTGACCGGCATGAACCGGCACAAACCGGTATGTGCCACCAGTTGAACCATTCCACTTGCTAAACCGGCACACTGGCATAAACCGGTTCGACAACCTTGCTTTGTACTCACTTCTGAAGTGCAATATATGCAGCTTCTTGTCAAAAAAAAAAAAAAAGAGTGTCATGTAGGATTTGCAATTGAGCAAATACCATTGATGTGGATGCTCTAAACTATTTTTTTTTTTTTCAATATAACCCATTAGATAATAAAAATGATTTTTAAATATTTCTTACTAGATATTCATAAAAAAAATTTGACCATCATTCAAAAAGGACATAAAGAGATCATCTATCTATACAATGCTCTACTGAGCACATTTAATTTCAAAGATTTTATAAGTAATTCTCCATTTCACATTATTTGTTAACCTTAATCGTTATTAAATATTATGACCCAACCCATCTACTTATTTCCTCTTTTTATATCAAACAACTTTTTTTACGTAACTCGCCTGCGAGTTTTATTTCAGGTTGGCCTTATAGATGGATCCACAAGCATGAGTGCTGACGGCGGTTATCGAGCACGATTCTAAGATTGAGCTAAAATTACAGCAAGTACTATATGGATAAATGCAATGTTGGTCGGCACAAGTTCGACCCGTAGGTTCGGTCCGGTGCTGGCCACTGGCCAGTGGAGGTCGAAGCAATTCGATCCATGGCCTCTGCTTTTGCTTCTTCTTTTTTTTTTTTCTTGATTTTGTTTTCCAATTTCCATAATCGTTGTAAGTCGGACTTCACTTCACTTAAGCTTCACGCCTACTTGCGTGAACGACCAGAAAGAGGCCGACGGAAGCTTCTCTCCTTCATCAGCTTCCGGCGACAGAGAAAGAGGCGGCGGAGTAGAAAAATGCCGTTCATATCGCAGATACAGAGACAGTCCGATTACGCATACTTCCCTTCCGACACCCCTATCGTCATCGACAACGGCGCTTCCTATTTCCGCATCGGGTAAAGGACGAACAAGCTGACTACAAACCCTAATTCTCTACTCTCCAGAGCGAAATGCCTGCAGTTTTGATTGAAAATCCTCTTGCTTTGTAGCTGATTTTGTTTGGATTTCCCCCCACCAATTTGTACTGGCAGGTGGGCGGGAGAGAACGAACCGCGGGTTATTTTCCGCAACATTGTCCAGAGGCCTCGCCATAAGGGCACTGGTGAGTGGTTTTGTTCTTTGTTCTCTCGTTTTGTTTCTTCTTTCTGCCATTTGGCTTACTATTTAGTTGCTCAGAGTTGTAGTTGGAGGACTTATTTGAGCATTTTCTTCATTGTTTGGTGGGTTGCAGTTACTAAGTAGCTATGTGGGTGGCCCTAATCTTCTCTCTTTGTCTGGTCATATAGGTGAAACAGTGACTATTGTGGGGGACCATGATCCTGCGTTATTAAGATACTTCGATTGCACTCGCTCCGGGCCTCGTTCTGCTTTTGACAACAATGTAGTTTACCAGTTTGAGATAATGGAATATGTAAGTTTGGCATTGGGTCATACAATGGTTGTAGCCCCTGTATCATCTCGTTTATGAGTAGGGCAATTGCTTAAATTTCGTACATTTGATGCTTTAAGTAGTATAATTGAGTTCAGCATATTCAAGATTTGACATTTTAAGTTTCCGGTGAACTGCCTCTATGACATTATTAACTGAATGTTGGTTACGAGATTGTCAGTTTTCCTTGTTCAAACTTGCCGCTGATTATCTTTTCTGTTTATCATGTAGATTCTAGATTTTGGGTTTGATCGGCTCGGAGCAAATGGATCACAGGTACAATAATAAGTTCATTTAGCAAGAGTGCATTCCTCAGTAGGCTTCCACTCTGTATCTTATAGCTGTGTGGTCTTCCACTTCAGCAGTCTGGAGAAAGCTATTTATGAATTATCATAATTTGTATGTCATGCTCCCAATGTTACGTGGTCTTTCGTTCTTTCGTGATTCATATGATGAGAGTGAGATCTGCTCTACATAATTCTGTCATTTGGCACTTTATGCTATTGGGTTAATGGAAATGGTAGGGATGCATCATCTAGTCGTCATTCAGAGTGTCTCAATTGCTATTTAGGGTAGGTTTCATAGTTCTGATTTTGCAATGTTTGCCACGCAAGATTCCATTCATTTTGTGCATTATTGCAACTGTCTATCTGAGATAGTTTGTACACATTGACACACACTGGCTGTTTATTGACTTTCTTTTCTTTTGAGCTCAGAACAGATTGATCATCCTGTCCTGATCACTGAATGTGTCTGCAATCCAGTGCATTCCCGCAGTAAAATGTCAGAACTTTTGTTCGAGACATATGGAGTTCCATCAGTTGGTATATGCCCTAACTGTCATTGATTAAATTGCTATCCACACACTGCACTGGAGGAACTGTTGTTCTTTTCTGTTTTGTTTCGTAGATACAATTGAAATATTAAACCTTAGTTTTGTTTTCACTTAAAGCTTTTGGAGTTGATGCTGCATTCAGCTACAAGTATAATCAGCGTCATGGGATTTGCAATGAGGATGGGCTTGCTATATGCCCAGGATTCAACACAACCCATGTTATTCCGGTATGCTTTCTGAACTCATGTTTGCTTATCCTGATTCTAGTTCATGATGGGTGATACATCCGTGTTTGCTACAGCTTTTCAAGATTAATCATACATTAGTGGGGGGGATGTTTGACTTGAGTTACGTGTTTAGATCCATTGACATAAAAAAAAATGGACCAGTCTTCATGTGCATCTATGTCACACTATGTTCTTCATGCAAATCATATACCCATCATGAAGTTCATTCGTATTCCTTGGATTTGTTTGCTTTAAATCGATTCCCTGGTCAAAGTACATGCCATACTTGTCCCCATGGAAAATGAACTTTTATTGGTGATTGCACTTTGTAAGGAGCCCTAGTTTCTTTTCTGTTTTCCTCCCAGTTCGTTGCCGGAGAGCCTGTTTATAAAGGATGCACTCGGACAAACATTGGTGGTTATCATGTCACTGACTACTTGAAGCAACTTCTTTCACTCAAGTACCCTCACCACATGTGAGAATACTCCCACTCAGACTCTGTTTCCAAAAGATTGTCCTATTTACTATAAACCGATGCCTGTCCTTTCATTTATAAGATGTTATCATTTGTATCAGGGCTCGATTTACATGGGAAAAGGTTGAAGACCTAAAAATGGAGCACTGTTATATTGCACCAACCTATGCTTCTGAAACTCGGTTATTTCAGGTAACAGGCTCACCTGCCTACTGCATTACTATCAATATTTGAATATCTCTGTATGTGACTTACTGCAGTTGTGTCACAGAAAGGGACCGAGGAAGCTGAAGATAAAACTAGGGTTTGGCAGCTTCCATGGGTTCCACCACCAGTTGAGGAAGCCCCGTCAGAGGAAGAGATAGCCAGAAAGGCTGCTTTAAGGGAAAGGCAAGGTCAAAGGTTGAGAGACATGGCTGAAGCAAAGAGGTCATCAAGGATAAATGAATTAGAGAACGAGTTGCGTGGGCTGGAATTTCTTCTGCTGCAACTTGAGCAGGTACAAGCTCATGAAATCCCCAATTTCCTTAGGGAGACTGGATATCATTCCAGGCAAGAAATAGAGGCTTCTGCGCACAAGGTGACACTGTCCCTAAGGAAAGCTAAAGGAGAGCCAAAAGCCGACCAGTCTGAAGCCGAAGACAAGACTGATTCTTCAAGTGAAAAGTACCCTTTAATAAGCATCCCTGACGAAATGCTGACCCCTGAGCAGGTAAGCTACCAATTGCATTGAGATTTCTTTTTCGCACATAGTCAGTAAGGCAACTGTACGTTTTTTTATCCACCAAAATGCAAGATTACAGTGTCTATTGGCCCTCCTTTTTAATGAAAATGCTCAATGTTACTGGTGCATCATTGGCAGATCAAGGAAAAGAGAAAACAGATATTCCTTAAGACTACATCTGATGGCCGACAAAGAGCAAAGCAGAAACGTCTTGAAGAAGAATCAGAACGAGAAAGAAGAAATCAGCTAGATGAAGAGAGACGCTTGTATGTATTTAATCTTCAAACTGCGGCCTGGCTTCCTAAAATTGCTCATTCCAGCTAATTTCAATCCATACTTTACCAATCATATGTAGCTTACTTATGGCTTTACCACTACAGGGAGAACCCGGAGCTTTATTTAGAGCAGACACGTGCTAGGTACAAGGAACTCTCCGAGAGAGTTGAGCAGCGAAAACGATTAAAAACTAATGGGAACCAAACAAATGGAAATTCTGGTGGTGTTGGCCGGGGTGAGAGATTGAGTGCTGCTCAAAGGGAAAGAATGCGACTTCTGACAACAGCAGCATTTGATCGAGGGAAGGGTGAGGATACATTTGGTGCTAGAGATGAGGATTGGCAGTTGTACAAGTTGATGAGCAAAGACAATGATGACGATGATGATGGACCAGAACCTGATGAAGTAGAGCTGGCACGCATTTCTTCCCGACTTCAGGTAGTTTTCTTTCTCAAGTTCTAAACAATGGGTCTCTGGTTCTCTAAACCTGGTGTCTATTTTCAGCTTTTAGCAACTTTTTTACTTGCTCTTACAATTTTTAGCAAAGGTGAAGAAAAAATGTGTTTGATAGCAAAGATCGAGTTGAAAACAAGCTGTATATGGTTAACTAATAGAAGAGTAATATACTAGATAGTTTGTAGCTGAAAACGGAACTGTATTAGTGTCTGGCTCTTAGCTTTCAGTAATTTGTGATTCTGAAAACAAATGCACCCTTTTAACTCTTGTGCACTCCTCTGATATAAATATGATCTTCACTTGACAGGAAATAGACCGAACATTTGTGCCTAAATCAGAAGCAGAAACCTCCCAACCAGGTTCTGAGGTGCTTAAGTCTCGACCACTAACCCAGGAAGACTTCAAGATTGTGCTTGGGATAGAAAGGTTCCGATGCCCTGAGGTCCTATTTAATCCGAACCTAGTAGGGATTGGTCAGGCAGGGGTGGATGAGATGGCTGGGGTGTCTATAAGGAGGTTACCGGAAAAGGATGAGGAGTTGGAGAAGAGACTGACCAGCTCCATTCTTATGACGGGAGGAAGCTGCCTATATCCTGGTATGTGTGAGCGCTTGGAAGCTGGGATTCGAATGATTCGACCATGTGGGGCCCCGATTAAGATAGTGAGAGCATTGGATCCAATTCTTGATGCCTGGCGAGGAGCATCTGCATATGCTGCATCTGCACAGTTCCCGCAGCAGACGTTTACTAGGATGGACTATTTTGAAAAGGGTGAAGACTGGATTCGCGGCTACAAATTTAGGTACACTTTGTAGTAACGTATTGAAGCATTACTGTTTTTAGCCTGTATCTGACTGTAGTAACAGAACCCCATCTATATAGTATTTGAAGAGGCGTTAATGATATCAACTTCCCAATTGGTTGCCTTATTTCCAGTTCTATGGTATTTCACATTGATCACTCCACTGTTTTCCTTTTCATTGTCGACGAGAAGTATGTAAATGCCAAAATGGATGGTGCTCATTTACTTGGATTGATTATGGAAAGACACTTTAAAGATTTGTTTGGCAAGTATCGGCATATCCGCCCGCCCTAGATACACGCTTAGTCGCATTGTTCATCTTAATAGGGAGCCGTGAGGTGCTCTCATGTCAAGCCCTAGGTTCGTTTTATTGCTGTCAAATTTATGCCATTTACATGTCTTAGTGGGGTTCTTGCAACGATCTTCATTTGGTGTTTGTCAATTGGTGTGTAGGCTGTTTCTGCCATGTGAATCCATTTGACTTCCAATATACATTTTTTTTTATTTTGTTAAATTTTGGCACCAATATCATATACTTCACAAATTGCTCAATCTCACAAATTATCCAATTATACGCAGTCCACACCTCTAGTAAACCAAATACATGTATAACATAGAATGTATACAATCTCATTGGCTAAATATGAGTTCTTGCGTGCTTGCCAAACCACACCTAATAATATATTGCAAATCCAACAAACACAATCTTATTCTAATCTAATAAACACCAGTTTCAATGAGAGTAGACACAAGTAACTGACTTTACAATTACCAAAAAAGGCGAAAATGAACAAGAAAAGGCAATACAACTGTTTCAAATTTCAATCAAATATTCTTGTCATCTTTACTGAGTGGCAAATATAAACATGGTGGTAGGTATATGCACAACTCCTTCATGTACAGGTGGAGGCAAGGTGAATAGTTGAAGATTGATTGATGATCTCATCATCTAATGTGCGTTCGTCCCAGCGACCAAAGCCCTGTATCTTTAACTGGCGCCTGTTTGGCAGTAAAAACTTGTTTTAGACTTTTAGTGGTATAAATATTTGCTTCTGATAACATTCCACAGTGTTAGAAGGGAGAACTAGCTTACCGGTGCCTTCATGGATGGGAAGACATTCCAGAACCGCAGAGTTTCATCTCCTGCTCCAGTTACTATCGTCTGCAAACAAAAGAAAGAAAGAAAAAAAAAACCCACAGAATTTAAGTTCACTGGAGAAAAGTATAATGTTCAAAGCTTCTTTTGAGGAGCTGAATGAAACAAACAGGCTCCACTACCTGTCCATCAGGCGACATGGCAAGGTACAGAACCCGCAGACTGTGTCCAGTTAGAGTTGCAACCTATCCAAAAATGAAAATGGCGATCAGTGAATAGCCGTATATAACTATACTGGTGTTTGTTTGAGACGGTTTATTATTATTACTAGGCTACTGAGTTGATCGATGAAAATACCTTAGATAATGATGGATACTTCCACACCATGATTTGGTTCTGGGAATATCCATGAGTGCTCACCAACTCGTTCACGTTCTTGCTCCAAGCTAGATTGCATACCTGCCCCACAAACCCATACCCCCATTAGCACTTGACAACAATGTAAACTTTAGGGAAAATGCAAACTACTGGCGAAATTATGTGTTGATCATGGAGAACGATATATTTACCTGGCTACCGGTATCGATATGGTTTAACTGACTGCCCGTGGTTGTGTTCCAGAAGCGAATGCATCTATCAGCAGTTCCACCTCCAGATGCAAGCAGCCCACTCTGATGAGGCGACCATGCAATCGCCTTCACTGCTGCCGTGTGCTCTGTCAGCTTCAGAATTGGTTGCTGAGATTGCTGGTTCCATACAAGCAGCTGAAAGAAACCCCAATTCAAGTCATTCCACCCAATTATCTTTCTCAATCACACTAACGCACCCATTCGATTCTATTCGATCCAGTTACCTGATTGTCATTTCCACCAGATGCAAGTTGTTTGTCATCGTGGGACCATTTTAGTCCACACACCTGCAAAAAATGCAGCCCAGCAATTTAGCACCACACAGTACTTCTTCCACTTCAAGGAACTTAAAAGTAACAGTCTTGGAAAGCACAAGGCACCTCAGATTTATGACCAACAAGTTTGCTAACGAAGTCGCTGGGAACACGAAGATCGTGCTGAAGTATGTTCCTATCTCTGCTTCCTGATGCCAGAATCCGCGAATTCCATGCCAATACACCTGTCCTCGTTTGATGCCCTCCCATTGTCCTCACCCGCTTGCACTGTGTTCCATCCCACACCTGCCATGCCAACCAGAACAAACTTCATCATTCTTACTCTTCAATTACTCTCAAGAAATCGAAATGGAACAAGAACTGGACAAACTGTAAAAAGTTACCTGAACTTGCCCAAAATGGGTGCCAACCGATATGTAGGAGCCCTCTCTGGTCCATTGAACTGAGCACACACTATCATTAGGTCCTAAATCACACAACTTCGTCACCTAATAGCAACAAACACAACACAAAATTTCTACTTTCATTCATTTCTGACACACATTGCCAAATTTCCCAAGTTGCTGCATAATCATTCAGTGACAACAAACAAACTACAGCAAAAAAAGCTTACTCTGCTGTTTGATGCAGACCATAAATACACACAAGTCCCCAACCCAACAGCAAGCACATTCTGGGATGACCAATCTACCACGTTCAGGTAGAAATCATCTTGTAGAGATGGAGCATCCAAAACCTGCAGCATAAAAGTATAATCAATCAAAACCCTACTGCACATTTCCCCCCCCCCCCCCCCCCCCCCCCCCCCCCCCCCCCCCCCAATTAGCATTGAAACCCTAACTTGAATTTGAAATTCCTGACCTTGTGGGGAGTTTTGGGGACCTTGCGGGGAGGCTTAGTAGGGGTAGAACCTTCATTCGAACTTCCACTATCCTGCCTCAAGATCGAAGGAGAATACGGCGAATTGGACCCTCCAGAGTGATCGGTCTTGAATCTCAGCATATTCGGACTTCCCAAACCGCCGCTGCCTGCAGGGGAAGAAGAAAAGGAACCAAAATCAGACCCAAATAGCTCACATTTCAACAATCTAGCATAAGTCTCGTTCCCTCCTCCTTCTTTGGCCGGGGACCCAGCCGCCGCCGGCTTGTCCAGAAGCCCAAATGTGTGGAGCCGGGAAGCTGATCTGCAGGGTATGAACCGATCGCTGCAGACGGAAGTCTTCGATGGCGACGAAAGGCTGGAGATTGCTCGGGGGGAAGAAACCGAGGTTACTCGAAATGCCGAAGAGGAGGAAACAGATGGAGATTGATTAGCGAGGGTGTCAAGGCGGAGGGAGGTCTCGTTCATCCCAGCTGGGAGATTGAGCCCGCTTTTCCTTCTCGCCTGTGGATCCATTTTTTGGTTGGCGTTTTGATTTTCTGACGGAGGTGAAATTTTGGAGAGGACTGCCGGAAAAACAGAGAGGGGTCTTTCTTCCGGTGGCGTTTCTCTCTGGCACTGGCAGTGGCGAGTCGGAGGGAGTTTGCAACGGTCGAATTTCGGGATAGTTATATAGGAAGGGAGCGGGGGAACGGTAAAAGGTTGCAGCCAACGGTCATTTTTCGTGGGTCACAGTGGGCTTTTGCTTGGGCCCGTTGGGCCTAGCCTGCCTACTCTTTTAAAAATCTGTTATTTTTCAAGTACCCAATAATATTCTGGATCTGGTGTTTTAAAAATCAGTTAAGTCATGATGGAGGATGATTGATGAAAGTTTTAGGTATCACAAATTGTTAAATTCACAATCAAACAGGAAATTTCTGGCCTAGTTTGGCTAAATAGTGTTCTAAAACATATTTGCCTGTCTTAATTGGTGTAACAAAACCACGTAATGGGAATGATGAAAATGCAATGTATGATGATTGGTTTTTCGTGTTGATAAGGTGTCTGACTTCTAAAACTTCTTAAGATAGATTATATAAATGCACGATTCAATTTATTTTAATGGTTTTCCACTTTCTCGTATGTTGTGTTAAAACCGATAGAAACTGACATATAAACCGATTGTACCTCGGTTGGAATATATAACTTGCCAAATTAACATAATTGTATAAACTGGTTTGATAAAGTTGCTTTTCATACATCAAAATTTTATTACGCACACGGTTCCCATTTAGGATAGGTTATCATGAAAAATAACTAAAATTAACCTAGGCATGTCATATTTCTAAAATAAGTAATCAACTAATCATTATCATTATAAATAATCAAAGAAGGACCCACATCTACACAATTATTGATTTGTAAGACAAATAATGATGGGCATGGGCACAATAAACAACAATGAACTAATTACTTGACTTACATAACTACCAAACTCCATACTTACTCTCAAAGATATATTAATTGCGCCCTGTCAAATGCTCCATCATCGAAGGAAAAAAAATGTGCGCTTAGATAATTTTAAAAAAATAGAACATCATTCGGCACATATATATGATCCTTTTTAAGATGAACAAACCTTCTCGTGTCAACCTTACTTTGAACATGAGGTTGATAATAAAAAAGTTTGGTCACATTAAAAATGATCTTATATGTGTGTCAAAAGTCAAAACACTGATCCATTTTCCCCACAAAATTGCAGTCTACAAACCGATTTATAACCGGAAATGAAAAGAAAAAAAGAGAAGGGTGTAAGCAACAGACTTTTTTACCACAATCATGGAGTGGTTCAACTAAAAATCCAATCCAGTATCAGCTGCTACTGTCTTGCAGACCGACCAGACATACATAATCATAAACTTTTCCCAAGAATTGATTAATGATGTTGAAATTCTGACCAGCACATGTTAGAATAACTTGGAAGAAAAGTAACTGATCCCAAGCTCGCAAACCGTAATGCATTACATCAGACACAGCTCACATATCCCACTTCCCAACAGAACTCAACTGTGTAAATGTGATTGGTTATTTTGTCAGCCACGCGACGTATGTCATGTCATTGAATTATCTTCTAACACGTGATGATGCGATCGACTTACCTTCTTACGATAGTTACATAGACGAAAGAGCACTCGAACAATGTCTACGGGTTACTGTCCATGTTCATCCGTGACCTAGCCTTGCAATAGAAATGAAAACAAACAAATAAAACATAAAACTATATGAGCTGACTCCAGCCGTGGAACCAGCAAGAAGACAACGACAGTCTACTAATTTGGTTGAACAAAAAATATACAAAGCTGACAGTGACCAAGACCAGAGATTTTATATAAAAAAAAACAGAGAGAACGGATGAAGTGTTTCAGCTGGGAGATGTATATGGTGAAAACATAAGAGAAAGAGACATAGATGATGAGTTTTCTCAGGAGAATATGAGATGAGATGACCAGCCAATCTAAAAAGTGATCAATTTGATCCTTAACTGTGGATGGACCCAAAAGAACAAACTTATTATCATGGGGTACTTAAAGAACTACTCAACTCAAAAGTCTGCAGATACTAAAGCTACAATATAAAAAAACATTGCAGATATTTCTGCCAACAGAATCTGATTTAGCTTAGCCATTTTGATGCCTTGCCACAGCTACCGGCTTAGGTATGTACTGAAACACTAAACTAGTCGAGAAAATTTACACTTCTGAAACTATACATGTCGAAACAGGAAAAGGGTAATCTTCTCTTCTGTGTTGTGTTTTCAGCACAGTTCCAAGGCTACAGATGATCCTTAGCGTTCAAACAAGAAGATCTTGCTGTTGCCACGAGACACTTGATCGATCATCAATAAGTGATCATCTCTTCCTCACTCACTGAGATGGATACTGCAGCATTGCATTACATGGCGTGCCTAGACAGCAGGGAATTCTCTAGGCCAATGCTGCAACTCTCACTCGTTGTCCTGTTCGACAAGCAAATGAACAAAAAAAAATGTATCATGTTCGATTTCCATTTTAACTGGATGAAAGGAGTAACAGTAGTTGGGTATCAGAAAGAAAGATGCGGAAGAAATGTAATTACCATGAACTCACGGAATGAAGAAACCCTTGCCCCTATGACAAGGTAAACCCACAATGACCCCTGCCTGCTCCAAGAACCACCCTAGAGTGATCACTCTAATAATCAATTGGCTTCCAGGTAGAGAGTGCATACACAATCCGGCCCTTCCACCCTTGGAGAACCCATTGCCCATCCTCATCAATCACAAAATCTTTGCCATAGTTCTCCTTCACCTTCTCCTTTGCAACTGTAAAAATCTCCCTATTCAGAGGCAGCTGAGTGAACCCAGCCCTTAGCATCCTGACTTGGCACTGCTTGTATGTCTCTGGCCTCTCCAGCCTCTCTGCACCTTCACAAGCAATCACATTCATCGCCTCCCAACCGAAAATCTCCCTCTCGATCAGCTTCCTCTCCGGGATATCACGTGGCACAGTAGACTCCAACATATCAAACAAAGTAGAGTAGTGGAAGAGCGCCTCCCTAAACCGGGTGATGAAGAATGGTGCACTGTAGGCTCCATTGACAATGCCAATGATGAAGACATCGGGTCTCATTTTCCTCACCAGGTTTAGGACAATGTTCCTTGGACAGTCCACCACCACAGTTTCATCGAGCAAGTTTCTCAGCCTGAATAAACAGTTTACAACCAGAACCTCACCCTTCTCAATCTTGAGATCTTCGACCCGAATGGTATCCCACTTCTGTGCGATAGCATTGAACTCAAACGGAACATTGAAAGTTCTGGCATAGTTTGCCAACCGACGTCCGGTCTCCTCCACCCTTTCAGCAGGCCGGAAACCCGGGTTGGGGAAATCAACTCCTGTGATTCGAAGCTTTGGAGGCCCACCAGGCATGGAGGACAAGCGCTGAATGAGGCATGGCCACTGAAAACCATAGAGAATACCAAAATCAACTATGTGAAGAGTTTTTGTTGTCGCACGTTGAGCCAAGTTCATTGTTGTTTTGTTCGAGAAAAAGTTTGAGAGCTTCCTAAACGGGCATGCAGCTAGAAACAGCTGGTATGCTTTTAACACATCAGCAGCTGAGGTTGGCCTTGTGATGAGTGCTTTATATATTTGTGTTCCCGAGCCAGCTAAGCGTGCCTCCAGACCATCTGCAAAAATGTATGCCAATCTCTGCATTCCATCCCCAGTTTGAGAAGCATTATCCCTTATCTGTTTCAAAAGCTCGTTTGAGTTCCTCCTGTCATCAGCAGCAACAGCCTGTGCACAGAGAGTCAACAGTGTCCTTAAGTCGACCATATTTTTTTTAGCTTTCCCCTGCCGCTTGCCTCGAGCTTTTCCACCACCATTAGACAACCCTTTGTTGGTTTGTCTATTCTGCTGTGCTGTCTTTTTCTTCTCACTCTGGAGAGCTGCACGGAGTGAAGCTTCTGGATCCTGTGCACAGTTGAGTAGTATGCTATCAAAATCTGCAGAACTCACAGTCGATTCGGGAGAAGAAACTGCTGACTGCTTACTGCTCCTTCCAAATCCAACCTCTAAGTTCAGATACTCAGGAGGATGAGGATTCTTCTTTCCTCTAGCTTCATGCTTATTATCATGATCGTTAAGGTCTTTAAGAGAGATCCCATTACTCTCCAGATCAACAAACAAACTACCCCTGGGAATGAACTTACTTGCCTCTTCAAACCCTCTTCTAAACTGAATGGCAGACTCATTCTCCGCAAAAAAGTCAGGAATTGAAACACTGCTCAATGGAGACTCTGAGAATGTATTATCAACTACTGTGCTTGCACTGGCCACTGGGCTATGTGATGTATTATTATCATGATAGCTCCACGCACAATCCATTAAGCTACTACCACCACAACTGTTGCTGCTCATGCTACTAGTAGTACAAGTGCGAGGACACGATTCATGGCTTTCATCTAAACTCTCAATGTGTTGATCAGTAATGTGTAATGTTGGTGGGTACCGTTCTCCAATGAGATCATAGAGTGATTTCTCTGCGGCCTGAAGTGCTGCTGAGGACTCCTGGAACATGCATGCTTTCTCTCCCATGTCTTCTTCCATCAGTATATCAGTAATATACTTGAGAACCACATCACTGAAATCAAAATCATCAGGGGACGACTCCTCAGCTTGAGTTCTGCTCGGCTGTAATGTTGCCTCGCCAACGTTTACACTAGGGTGACTGGTTGGCAAGGGAGGAATGCTCACTGAGTTCTTATTGACAACAGTAGAATTGTCTGATTTGAACCCAGAAACGAAATTCCTACTATTTACAGCAGAGAGGGTTTCATGACTGAGCTTCAATCCATTCACAGAATCGAACAATCCCCCTAAAGATTCATCCATATACATCTATATAAACAGTTGTCCACACTCCACAGAACAAGGTCAACCAGAAATCCAAACCTCGATGAATTCCAAAACTTGCTCTTATCTCCCCGCAGCCTTCTCTTCCAGCACACGGAACACCTTCAGAAAGGAGGGAAAATAGAATTTTTCATCAGAGCTTCAAATGATACTGCGGAGGATAATCCTTCCCTTCCCCAACCAAACAAAACAGCTATAAGACAAAAATTGGTCTTGATTATGCCTTCTCAAAGTTTCGACCTTTACAAACCCCTACTAAAAAGAGGCAGAGTTACCCGGACAACACAAGCTTAAAACTTCAATTTACTGAAGCCCAAATTACATCCGGAAAGAACGAAACATATATACATGCATTTCAATCAAGCAGACGAAAACATTCATCAAGCAGTATCAATTCAGTGATGAAAAGAAAGGAAAAATACAACAGCCCTTCAGCGCCAAACGATAGACGGGGCTAGAAAAGCAAAAGGGTATAAGAGAAAAGTTTGAAATTTATGTAGCACAGCTGCTTGGGCAAAATGAAACAGGTCGGCGGGGGCGACAAGATGGGAAAATGAAGCTACCTGCGACGGAAGAGAGTCGGGAGAGAGGACTGAGAAAGAAGGGAGAAGAGGAGACGAGATAGTAATAGTATTGGTTGGACTACGGAGGAAGATGAAGTGGGGGCGAGAGCGTTGGAAAAAGCTGCTCTGTTTCAGAGCATCGGAATACTAGGAAGCAGCGAAATTTGGGTTTCTGGGGAAGGGCAAGGCTAATGAATTGAAGGCTGACGAGGGTAAAAGGAAATGAGACAAAAGTCAAAATCAAGGGGGAAAAAAAAATTGCGACGAGCGTAGCCTCGTGAATAGGGATGGCAATGGGTCGGGTCGGGGGCGGATAGTGCATATCCGTTATCCTATCCAATGTAATTCGAGTTTTACCCATACCCGTACCCATACGAGAAACGGGTAGAAAATCAAAACCATGTCCATACCCATTCGGGTTTCGGGTATCCACGGTTATCCATGGGTAATAATTTCTCCTTATAATTTCAACCAATATGTTAACATTCACACGTATACTCACATGACGTAAGAGGAAAAGTACGACAATAATTCACTAGAATGACGAAAATTAATTAAAACAACATAATTTCATGAAAATATTATATTTATATGCTAAATATAAAATATTCTAGAGAAAAATAATGATTATTTCTAGACAAAATACATATGCATGTGTATAATCGGGCGGGTTCGGGTTGGATAGTGAGATAACCATGCCCACCCATTACCCGCAACATTCGGGTTCGGGTTTTACCCATACCCACGAAAAATGCTTCGGGTTCGGGTTTTACCCTACCCGATTAAGTCGGATTCGGGTGGATATCCACGGTTACGGATATTTTTGCCATCCCTACTCGTGAATTTAAACTACTTTGGAAAGGCATTAAATTTTGCTTGAATACCTATCTGGTCACTGAATTATTAGGATGAGCAGTGCCAGAAGCCCAAAACTGAAAAAAAGGCCGTAGCCCACATCTCGGGAGACATAATACCACTAGAGGTCGAACCTGACTTGAACTTCGAAGCAATAGCGTGGGCTGTGATTTTATAACAGTTGGGCTCAACTAACAGGCCCTAAACCCCCTACCATAAACACCAAAAGCATTAGCCGAACATGAAATCCTAACCACAAACCTACAGAATTCTCTATATCACAAACCCTTGAAACTTGAAAGGACTCAAAAATAATAATACTCTAAACAGTACTACACTCTCTTTTAACTCTTGAATTTTTTTATACGTATTATATAGATTTACTCTTTTGATTAGATATTACTTAAAAGACTTGAATTTGGGTTCAAAACTACTGATATTATGACTTTAACTTTTAATTCTTAACTCTAAATTCTAACCCCTCAACCACCTTCAGTGGCGGACCCAGAAATTTTACGTAGGGTGTCCTCTTTTAAAAAATAAATTAAATACAAATAATTCTAAAATAATTAATAAAAAATATTTAAATAAAAAATACTTTACTCAAACAGTTTGAAAAAATTCACAATGTGTTTTCATATTAAAAAATGATTGTAAAACACACTTGGGGTCTACACTATTCAAAAAAAATTGTCTTTGTATATCATATTAGACAATCATTCACGAACTGATCACATATTCAATTTCTAAACTTATTCTTGATGTAATCCAAAGCTGAAAAGACTCTTTCAATACTTGTTGTACAACCATAAATCAATACAAATTAAGGGTAGCTTGAAATTTGTTTAATTGTTAGATTTTGAAAATAATTAGAGATAGAGAATGACATTATACTATTACACAGTGTTTAAAATCGAATAACATATGAGTTGTAGCCTAATGAAAATTATGTTTATTAATAATAAAAGTGTCCTAGGTTTGAATTACCCAAACTACGACCTATATTCTCATACTCAAACTAAAAGATGAGAGTAGGATAATCACTTTTTTAAATTTAGGGGTGTCCCCGACTATCAATTATATTTTTTTTGTCAATACGTAAATTACTACCGGGGGTTGGATAATCGTTTTCCCAAAATTTAGGGGTGTCCAGGGACACCCCTAAACACCCGTGGGTCTGCCCCTGACCACCTTAGACCTGAAATATAGTCCATGAATCCCCTAAAACTTGGGATCGTTTGGTTTTGGTGATAGTTAAATCGATGTATTGTCATCAATGCATGCATAATAATATACATGCATATAAGAAAATTGGTGTATTGTAGTTTACATCATTTGGTTTCTGTGATAGTTATTGTAGTATTTAAAAAATTATATCACCTTTTGGGTGAAATGTCACTTTTATCCTTTGTTTTTAATATAAAAAAGCAATACACATAAAAGTAGGGACATATTTGGAAGAAGAAGAAAACACAACAATCTCCATCAAACAATCTCAACGAAAACTTGAGATTTAACTATCACTCATTTTGAGTGATAGTTTGTGTCAAATCAGGCAAACAATGCATGTATTGTTTGCGCATAAAATTTAAAAAACGATTCATTGTGGACATTGCATGCATTGTAACTATCCCAACCAAACTATTACCAAAACCAAACGACCCCCTCTAACCCACTAATCCTAAGTCCTTAGCATACTGGGAAATCTGGAAGACGTTAAGATATGATTGAAATTGCACAATCTAGTCAATCAACATTTTACTACGATCGTTGTCGTCTAATCACTCAAAACATTGTTGTTTAATTGATTTAGAGCATAGTTTTTTTTTATTAATCACTTAATTCATGCAAATTACTCAAATGCCAAAAATATCGTGCATCTAGTCAATAAATATTTCAGTAAGATCCTTGTTGTTTAATCACCCAAAACATTGTTGTTTTATTGATTTAGAGAATCATTGTTTTTTTTCTGTATTAATCACTCAATTCATGAAAATTTACTCAAATGCAAAAGCAAAAACAAACTGTGCATAATATTGAGAGATGAGCAATTACACATGGGGATCGCGTAACAATCCACTAATTAGTTTCACTTTGAGTCAATTCAAATGGATGAATTTTAACCATTGTTCAGTAGGTGGATAGTAACACTAACATCATTTTCTCACTAGCCTATGGCCGGCCGATTGGCCGGTGGAGTTTTATCTCGTCACTACAGGAAAAGTGAGTTTTCACAACACGTAAAATATGTTGCATGAAGTGTTGAAAGTGTTGCATATGTAATATGCAACACTTATAGTAGTGTCCTCTATAGGTGGTGTTGCATAAAGTAATAGGTAACACTTTTTTCACTTTATGCAACACAAAAACTATGTGTTGCGTATGTGTACCACTTATGCAACACCGTTTTTGGCAACATCTCAACAAATTTATGCAACACTTTTAGCAAGTATATGCAACGTGCATATAATTTATTATTGACAGGTTTTTTCGTCGCATAAGACTAACACAATCGTGACAACTTTCTCTAGTAACAAATATTATACATTTGTGTGTGAATGTTGTGGTGAGTGAAGCTAGCTTTTGTGACAAGTTTGTACGGACACCAACTTATATTAAATGTGACAGGTTGAATTTATCACAAATACATAGTTTTTGTGACAAAATTATAGTCACATATGCAACACCATTGGTGACACTTTTTTTCATAAGCATTACACCTTTAGCAACCTTTTTGTTGTCACGAAAGTATATTTTTGTTACGGTGAATTTTATCACATAAAAGCAACACCAATAACGAATTTGTATTGGAAAGAATAATATATAAAAACAAGGATTAATTTGTCGCCAAAAAGTATTAGATTTTTCGTGGTAACATTAAACTCCATTAGAGCTCCAACTGATAAGCCTATCTACTCTTACACATATGTGTTAAAACTACGAATATACAATTATCTTATTCTTAAGCTATTCAAAATCATATATGAATCTTGAAAGCCTTGCTTCCTCGGCTGGCTTTGCCTTCTCCATCGTCTTCCATCTTGGGGTGATTTTTATCTTTTTTTTTTATTGAATGCCATACCCTTTGAAACAACCATCATTGACCAAAGAAGAAAGCTCTCAATTGAATTAGATATGGAGAAACGAACCTGCAGATTATAGTGAATAAAAGAATCAATCCATTAATCAACTCATACTGCAGTTATAAAGTCAAAGAGGAAGCGATATAAGTGTACCTGTAATAGGAATTAAACTCCAGCTACGTACAATGGGGGTTCTTAACGGAGATCTGACCATCTGGCGATGGTTCGGCTGGTTAGAGAGGAAGCCCTAAGCAGACAGGAGAACAACATAAGACTCCGAGTATGGGGAAAGATCGATCACGGCGACCAAGGGTTTATAGAAGTTTGATTTTATTTTTGGTGGAAAGAAGTTTGATTTGATACAACAACTAATTGATTCCTTTTTTACCTATTATTATATTTAAAAGTGATCTACGAAATCCTCATAAGCAATAACAAATGATAAACGAATAAATGAGTAACAAAAAGAAGGTAACCATCAAAGAAGATAATTTACTATCGTTACCATAATTTGTAAGAAAAGATTATTAAATTGATTCTTTACGCAAAATTTTTGTTAAGAGATAATTTCATTACTTACGTCTTCTTTCATTAAAAATTGTTTTTTTTTTAAATAGTATTGTGTGTGACTACTTAAAGCCTCACAAAAGCACATTAAACATGTGTGACGGAAAATTAAGGTTTTATAAGAAATTAGTCCCTCACTAATGAAATTCATGTGTTTATAAATTAATGTAAATGAACATAAAATGGAGCATTGTTTATGAACTTCAATCGGTTAACTTTTAAAGTAACACTTTTTAGTATAACAGGATAACTAATTTGTCGAACATTATGATTTGAACCACTGGTATATGTGGTGTGGAAATTTCATTGATAGTTAATTTGTTGTTAACGAACATTATGTGGGTCGTCAATATGATAGTTATATTCGATGACAATATGTTAGTTATTAATAATAACTATTAAATTTATACAATAAGTAATAAAATTATAAAATGTTGCCTAAAGTGTAAGAATAGACAACATAATTTATTTTATTGCTCAAGTGTTGCATATTGTTAGGTATATGTAACAAAAAAAAATAGTGTTGGTAATTTGTGTTGTATAAGATATATATTATGCGACACATAACTTAAGTGTTGCATATGTATATTTTATGTAACACTTTTAAAAAGTGTTGCACAACAAGTGTTGCATAAACCCACTTTTTCCCGTAGCATTCTATCTTGTCACTATTTTTGTCTATTTCGAGTACTTAAATTTAGTAATAGTGCTACCTGACTATCAAGTACCTATGTAAGGGACACTACTCCTGTGATAGAATAACTAATGGCCTCATTTCATAGCTTCAATTATTGTATTTATCAATGTATGAGTTTTAGGTAAAAGGATTACTATCAAGTGTCATGAACACTAAATTATAGTATATCAACATTCTTTCATTTAGTACTTGTATATTCCAAATCAGACCATAAACTCTTCTCTTACTAACTCCATCAAACTAATTGAATTCTAGTAGATATTCGAAATAAGGATTCATTATGTTACAATGACTTACAAAGTGCCCACTACATTGTTGTAATCTCATTTGCTATTGCATATTCAATGTCACGTAGGATTTGCAATTGACCAAATTATCATTGATGTAGTAACTAATGCTCTAAGAAATGATTAGCATAAGAGCATCTACATTGGTTTTGCATTTTCAATTGTAAGATGACATATCATATGTTTTTGTAATTGCAAAACCAATTGTATTAATGTGGCTATGCATGGTATATTTGCAAGTTTACAACAAATGCAATTGCATATAAGATCAAAATGACCTAAAAGTATGGGAATCCCTTTTTCTCAATTTATTTACCATTTTATTTTATTTTTTCTTAATTTAAACCCGATATTTAATTACATATGCAATTGCAAGTGGATTGCATTTATGTAAGTACAATGACATTAATATGATTTGAATTGAAAATTTATTTATGTCGCAATGAATCCTTGTGTGGATTACCTAATTGTAATTTTTTCGGTAATTAATTTCAAGCACAACAGAAAATACAACTAAATAAACAAATTAATCAAAGAAAGAGGTTAGACCAATTTTCAAACTGACGAAAAAATGGGAATGGGATTATGGGAATAAAAAAATATAAAATAATTAAGGAATGGTGGGAAGGTTGGAGCAATTTCTACAGGAAAAAATGGTAATGGGGAACGAAAAAGAAGTATAAAAAATTATTATAAATTGGTTGTACAAATACCATGTCGCCCTTCCAAATTGTGCGGTATGAAGAGCATAGGCTGATGTGGCAACTCCTTTATATTGACATTCCCTTACAGTTTTGTGTAGATATCACACCATTATAAAGCTGAATAAATTTCAAATTGGTCATTCTTTCATCCAAGAAGTTAGAGTCAGTAGACACAAAAATTGATGAATTATGTTTGTCTTTAATGATCCATCTAACATGATTATGGGCACCAACTTGCAATAACACTATTTCATTTCCTTAGGTTCAAGTTTTATTTTTAAGATTCTACATAGAAAATCATCTACAAAATCAACTGGATCAGATTGGATTACATATCCAACAACCCATCTCCAGCTGAGAAATGAATGATTTCCATTTCCACTGACTCAGCCACCAGCAGCCTCAGACCTCAGCGAGATGAGATCCAGATCCCAAAATCTCCTCAAAACCTGGCATTATTTCCTTGCAATTGCATCAACAACGAACCACCCTCCCACCATTTTAATAAAACAACAAAACAAACAGCTCTCCAATGTTGAAATTAGAAACTCTTCGCCCCAAAACAAAAGGAAGCAGCAGAAGAACACCTTCAAAAGACAGCGCCAGCCCTCCTTAAAATAACAAAAAACAGAGTGGAAATTGTTATAATATTTGCCGTGGCATGTGAAGTTCACGTGCCCCTCTTGTTCTTATTCTCTTGTGCTCATATTAATTAAGAGAAATGCAAAAGGGAAATGTTTTTAATGAGAAGTAGAAAAGAAGACTTGGCTAAACAAGCTTGCTTGAGTCGTACGAAACTAGATAAAATCATTTTTATTAAAGCAGGGGAAAGGAAGGAAAGAAGGTAGCTAAGTAAGAAGCCACCCAACCATGACTATTCCTCATCAAGTCTTCTTTCTTCCTTGTTGTGTTGGGTTTGGCTTTAAAATCTCTCACATGGCGGTTGCGTGCAGGGAACAGAGTTTTAGCCGTAAAGAAATCTTCCCCTGCCCTTTCTCTGTTTGCCATTCTGACATCTATCTAGCTTGCCTCATCAAGGATAATAGAACATCGATCGATGCACAGATCGAAACCAAACCCAGAAGTTTTTCGAGTGGAAAGCTAGCTACTTGACGCGAATTCCATTGCATTACATGATTCATAAAGCTAGTAGTTTATGTCTGTCATAGAATCGAAAAGAGACATGGATTGAGAGAGGTACAACTAACAATGGAGCCAAAAAAAAGTAACAACAATAATCAAGAGAACATTTTCAAATGTTCCTTTGAACCTGAACTACACATAATCTATCCGGCCAATTCTATTACACCAAATTCAATCAAAGAATGGGGGAAAACAATGTTCCTGTTAGGTTGAGCCACTCCCGCTAGAGGGGCTTTATTCCCTGGAACTGAATCAATTTACAAAAGGCCGAAGCTTTCCTTCTCACCCTGTTTCCATTTGAGGGGAGGGGAAACACCGGCAATGAATTGTTGTAAAACCAAAGTGTGAGTGTATTACAAAATAAACATTCTGAGAAATCAATTGTTCTTTCTGTTGTGCAATTTGTACAATTTTGTTGATGTTCTTGTCTGTCACCCTGTTCTGTGCCTTCCCATGTTCCCTGTCAAGTAGTAGTAGTATTCCCTTCCTTTTGTACACCAAGTGAGATGTCCTCCATCTTCAAGTTTCCACCGCCTGCCCATCTGTTATCTGCAGCACCTCCGAGGTTGCAGTTGCAGTTGCGGTAACTTGATTTTTGTTATGTTGCTTGGCTTGATGCTGCGACCAGTAGCCGTGTGCAGCCAGTACTCTGTCGAGAAGGTTCTGAGGAACTGGCTCACCCCTTCTTTGCTGCGGAGCAATCTGGGCTGTGTGGACCAATGTCTTCCATTTATCCTGTAAATCCGAGGGTCAAGCCAGAAGGAAGTCAGCTCAATTTGCTAAACGAAGTTCAGCAGGAGCTTGTATATATGGATTCAAGTTCACACACCAGGATCACTGAATTTCAGTATGTAAGTCTATGTACCTTTAGGTCAACATATGTTCGATGGTCAGCATTGTCAAAAGATCTTAACTTAACATCCCGCCACCTGCAAAAATATAAGAACCCTTTTGTGAGATTAAAGTTTTAGCAAAACAGGGAATCATGCAGTGTATAAGCTGGAAGGAGAATATTATATACCTTCCAGTGCCTAGTTCTTCAACGGCTTCGACAAGTGCCTCTACTTCCGAGACTGAGAATGGTCTCCTAGTTCGACGCTGTACATTCTCAGATCGCTTAGATTTCTGGTTGAGGGGAACAACAGCAAGTGCCTCAGCACTTGCTGGTTCAACTGCAACCAGAGCTTTGGAATCTGATGGTGATTTGTTGTCAGCTACTAAGTCAGCATTAGAGGAAAGTGGTTCCTGATCACTAGTCTCACTGTTATTGTCAGCATGATTTGTTGTTGGAGAAGGAGCAAGGTTGAGCGAGTCAATAAGCTTCAATGACTCTACAACTGGAGTTTCTGGGGACCTGAGGAAACAAAGTAAATAGCTGAGAATCACATGTGCCTTGTGACATAAACCATTTTGTCTTGCCGAGCAAGGCTAACACGAGACAGCAATAATCCTTAATATAAGCCAACTGGGAGGAAAATCTTGACAATTGCTCGAAAAGAAGGTTTGAGTTACCTTGGTATAAGGTGGGATGTCTCACATGGTAAGATAGCGGGAGGCTCTTCACAGCACAAGGGCGCAGGTGTTTGCACTGAATTAGGCTCCAAGGTAAAACCCAGAGTCTCGATATTTTCAGTAGAAGTGATGCCAGTCTGCAACAGGGTTCTGTTATCATCCCTGACCTTCTTTCCATGAAGAACCAGCCCGACACGTAAACCACCGCTAAGTAGAGCAGTCACAGCTTCCACGACAGTTCTCTGTAGCAAATTCAAATTCAGTCTCACAAGGGAAAAAGAGAAAAGGAACTCTAAGAAATATCTAGCGACAAGCAATGGCTAGCTAATTGGTTTCTGTTCGAGGAGAAAGAAAACAACAAAAACTAGCCTATGATGCAGGCACTTTCTGGGAGGCAACGAAAAAGTAGGCATGCACGTTCAAATCTCAACCAGTAAGAGTGCAGATCCATACCTTGAGAGAACCAACAGTTGCATTTTCTGGGACGTCAATGAAAAGCTCTGGAATTTTGAAGGACTTGATGCTCAGTTTAACTGAAACAAGATGTTTAACAACATATAAGAACCTTGGGATTCCAAGACAGTCAAAATTAAGGGGCAAAACCACAAACATTAATCCATCTCAGTACCATGAGAATCCTTCGACCGGAGCTGGGCTTGATGGCCAATAACCGGAGATGACATACCATTTTCTGCATAATAGTTACGAAATGTAAGCAAAAGAAACCAGCTGAAAGCTTGGAGAGATGGAGCACAAAATAGGAAACCAAAGCAGAAAACTTCGAGAGTGAACAATAGAAATCAACACACCTCCATTACATAATACTGCTGAACCATTTTCTCCAGACATGCCTTTTTCAGGTGAATTACAAACACTTTCACTGCTAAAACCCCCATCAGACGCTATAACTAAGCTACGGTCAGAAAATTTCCTCCTCTTGTAAAGAATATCGCCCTGAGTTTTGTCTGGATTGCAAGACAATTTCCTCTTGTGATGAAGAGGCTTCATCCCCAAATCTGCAAATACAGCAATGAAACAGAAATGTCAGGCAAAAGCCAATAGCAGAGATATAAATCATGCTCCAGAGAACAAGCAAACAGCCACTTACAAGGTTTCGTTAGCTCATAGTCTTTCAGCTTCGGAGCTGCTTTCCAGTATTTGGATGACAGTAGCTTTCTTATTCTTCTGTCTCCAATTCTAGAAGAAGGCTTAAATGCCTTTCTTCTGTTGCTTAGTTTATTAAACCTAAAAAAGTTTTCATCATCATCTCTAATGCCTAATTTAGCATCATTCCCGTGCTTCAAATCAGAAGCACTGGGAAGAGAATTCCCGTGGGATAACACTTTGACAGTGTTGGCTGAGTTGACCAATGCAGGACTCTTCGCATTCGACTTCATGGGATCCTTTGAACTGCAGGCATTATCAAGGATCAACCCCCGAGTCTCCATCTCATCAGCCAACGGCTGTCTTCCGAGCCCACTTTCTGGTTTTGCATCACAAGTCTCTACAGAAACAGGAGAGACTCCCTCCACCTTAGCAGGTACCTTTTCACATTGGATCGGCTTCACATCACTATTCCCTTTCTCTGAAGAATCAGCATTCGAGACAGTTGAAGACCGCTCCAAAATGGAATCACTCTCAGCTGGCGGTGGAATTTCCTTTAGACTTTGCCTACTGTCACTGCTAGGTGAATCGTAATCAGGGAGGAAAATGCTCTCTTCGCAGCTTCCCAAATCCAAGCACTCTGTTTTCACAGGTTTGGTCTCAACTCGCTCTCTTTTAACAACACCGTCACTAATTGCAGGCAGGTCATTTGCATCAGATGCATTACTAGAAGCAGATGAGCTTTCACTTTCCTGCAATAGCTTTCCGGCTAGAGAAGCAAGTAACTCAAATGCGCAGATTTGGCTGTCCTCAACTATTCTCTTATGAAAAGCCCTCTGCCAAGTAAAATCACGAAATGCCAGTCGTTAGAAAGACAATTACTTTATAAGTCAGAAAAGAAAAGCATCATAAGTACTTACTCTGGCAGATCTGGGAGCCTTGGGAACAGAAGGGAAGTGGAGACTGTTAAAACCATGAGATTGCCTCTTCTTCAACACCATATCTCAAACATACATACCAGATGGGCACTTATTAAACAAGATCGCTGCAATTGGGATCCACGGCACTGCCATCAATCCAAAACAAGAGAATGTCAACAAGCTGTTTTGCCTTCAATTTTGAATACATTCAATCTAGAAATTTATGCAAACAAAAACATTAAGCATTGATCTGCTAATCGACATGAAACCCAAATCAAAGTTTTTTGAAACAACAATCTCAATATCAGTCTGAACCGATCAACGAGAGATCCATAACACCATCACTGAACCACGATCAAATTATCACCCGATCAAAGCACATCCGAATCAACCATGGAAAATTCAACCCCAATTTGATAAGAAGAAAGAGAAGACGCCAACTTGACCTTAACGACAACATGAACAGCAGCAACAAAAGCAATTAGTGCAATCAGACCATTCTTATTTTCGATTGGCACAAATCTACAACAGACCCATCAAGACTGGGGTCAGGCAAGCAATTACTGAACGATAATTCACCTCCAGAATAAGAATTCTTGCTCCAAGATAACTGTCTACCAACGTTTCATCAATGCCCACAGTCAACAAAAAAACAACAGACGAAGCACCAGATGAAGAATTTCAATTTTAGAAAAAACATCCCATCTCAGGAATTCAATAAAAGCTGATTGACTTTTTTTTTTTAACAAAAAGCACTGAAGCTCCATATCCTCTTCGAAAAACCAGCAGTTTCCTCCCAAACCCAGAATTCCTGCAAACCGCCTCGCATCCATGATCAGATCCCGATCTCAGGCCAGGAAAGCAGAACAAAAAAAAAATCACTTCCGTACTCAATTTTTTGTTTTCGTATCACGGCAAGATCGAAGCACACAGTTGAAACCCACAATCGGAGCACAGAACAGAAGCAAGGAAAGAAGAAAGTTGAGCAGGGAATTCCACCAACATTAACCTGATCCAACACTTACCACTACTGACCTCGTGATTAACGTCAATCTCCGGTGAATTCCGTCCAACAATACGTACAGCGAGAGCCCAGATCGGGATCGGAGGTGGAGATCGGACCAAGGAGAAGAGATCAAGCAAGAAAATTATCAGTTCCAATTCAATTGCAACAAGAGGTGATAAAACGAATCCGCCATCACCACCACATAAAATCAATCTCTCGCAGAATTATGCATTTTCGTTTCTCATTTGATTTTTATTTTTTCCCAGAAGAAGAAAAACAACAAGAGGGGAAAAGGGAGAAAAAGGGGTAACAGAAAAACCTCTCTCAATAAAACACGCACAGGTAGAAGGGAGGAAAAACCATGAAAGAAAGAAAGAAGAGAAACAACAGTGGCTTGCTGCCTTAAACCCCTTCCTTCGTCGTCTCTTTTTATATCCCATCAATGAAACTTTTGACCACAAAACCGGACCAGCCGGGAACCCGGCGCCCGTGTCCGGGCAATAGCCGGTCAGCGATAAACCCCTTAACCAGTTAACCTCCTCACCCTCCGGAAATTTTCAAGGAAGTGATGGGTTTTAGCCACGTGGAGCGCTGCCGTATTTTGCTATTTATGTTCAAGGATAATGAGGCGAAAAGAAAAGGAAAAAGAAAATGAAAGGAAAGAAAAAAGGGAGCAAGGGATTTGGTTTGCGTGGGCGCGTCCCTTGGGGAGGAGATTGTGCACTCGCGCTGTGATTGGTGGAACGGGCTTGAAGTGGGCCTGGTGGGCTTTGAGGGTGGGACGCTCGGTCCACTAACTGCAATCTGTGGCTAAGGCTAAAGGAGAGAGAGAGAGAGAGAGAGATGGAAACTGTTATCCAAATAACCGTAAATAATGAGAACGGCAGTACAGTTATTTTTTCCAAGGAATATTCCATTGTCCCAAATTCGTGACTTATCCCTTTCAACGCCACCAAAAATGAACGTAATTTTAGATTAATTAGTGGTTTTGAAAAAAAAATTCAATTGATTTTTCAAAAGGTTAATAAATATTAGAATTTAATTAGACTTTTCCCTAATGTCAATTAGTAAAATCAGACTATTTATTTTTCAAAGGCGTCTCAACAAGGACTTGATAAGCTATTGATAGTTATTTTCACTGTTATTCTGTTTGTTGTCATTTTCCAATAAGCTACGAGAATTATTAATTGGAAGATTTGCTCCCAAAAAGAGCTTATCTTAATAAACAAAAGGGAAAAGCAAACTCATTCATGTGCCAAAAGAAGCAAAGGGACGGAGAGAGGGGCAAAACACAATGTGTTATATAGATTCATGGCTTCCTAGTTTCTTCTTGCTGAAATTTCTGGATTTATGTGCTCTTATTAACTAGTGATTCATTATTTAAGCACAAAAATTCTGAATTGGTGGAGGGTCTCCAACAAGAAGATATGAGGTTCAGGGTTCGATGCCCCTCGAAGTCCCGTGTGATGATCATTGGAGTAGCACCTGTCATTGGTAAGATAGTTTAGTAGTGTCGACACGGGGTAGATCGTCCCGAGATATATGAGGTACAGGGTTCGATGCCCCTCGAAGTCCCGTGTGATGTTCCCAGAGGCCCTCAAGTTTGGTCTCGCTCCACCATATCACAAAATGTGTTGTGTGCGTGGAGATGTCCCTGGCTAATAAAAAAAATCCGACCCTTTAATTTCTACTTCTTACGTTATTATGGTTATATTTGTTCCTGTGTATAAAATCGTATTGTATCATTAAAACTTTTTTACCGAATTTTAATCAATAGGTGATTTTTAACCATATGAAACGTTCAAACCACATTTAAATTAAAATTTCAAGCCAAATTTTCTCACGGTAACTTTTTCGATACAACATATACTTGAACTGGATTTGTACTTGGCAATTACAATTTCGTGTGTTTGATGATTCACAAGTACAACTAGCTCGTGGCTGGCTGGGCCTGCATGAGCTAGCTAGCAAAGCTAAGATAGCACGTAATGATATCTAAATAAGTTCCCATTTGCTCTCACTTGCTCGAGGATGTTCTATACTAATTCTATATAAAATTGGTAACTATAAAAAGGTCCACAATTATCAAAACTAGATAGTTTCTTCTTCGATTGAGTTGCCTTTTTTCAGAAAGTGTAGATGTGAGTCTTCATCATATCTTCAACATAATGTTTATAGGTTAACTACTAGTTCATGTGCCAATGGGATTTTGATTAATTCAAACTTATTTCGTATTTGATTGTGATGAATACTATTTAATATCATTCCAAATAATAATGTTCAATACGGAGCCGGTATTATTCATGTGTACCTGAAAATGACGGATATAGGATGATATTTCAAATTTCTCTAGATATGCGTATAAGTTTAAATATATGAAGATGTAAATGTGGACGGTTTAAGAAAATTCGTCAAAAACCCTCCCCACCGTCACTTCTATCTCTCTACCTTTATTCTTTATTTTGCATCACATAACAAATTGAGTTTGACAAAAATAATATCAGTCTCCGTCATGGTTGCCACGCCGGCCGGCGTGCTACTGGTTGAACCTGGTTTAACCTGTACCGGTCATAAAACCTGCATGACATCACCGGTATAACCGGCATGATCAATATATGAATCTCCAAGTAAAATGATCTTATGTTAGTGAATTTAATTGATAAAAAGTAATTTATTATTTATTTTATGTGTTAAAAGTTAAATATTGATGTTATTTGTTGGATTCAAGTACAAATATTTAGATATTGACGTTAAATGTCATGTTTAAATATGAATATTTATAAATTATTTGTAATATTAACCGGCATGAACCGGCACAAACCGGTATGTACCACCGATCGAACCATTCCACTTTCTAAACTAGCACACTAGCATAAACCGGTTTGACGACCTTGATCTCCGTATTCAAGGATTGTGGCTTGAAAGTAATAGCTTATCAAAAAAAGTTCCATCAAGCAAATAAAAAGGCAGTAGAGAGACACAACAACAACAAACTGTTTGGAATGCAATGAATATTCCTCTCTCTGTTTTTCCTCTCTCTGTTTTTCCTTTCTCTCCAGCTCCGATTTCAAGAGCGCCTGCAGCTACCCGTCAGGGAGCCTTCAATATTCCCAAATCCAGTATCTGCAGAAACCCCACCGAGGCGAACGAAGATCACAGCGCATTGAAGAATTGGATATGGAGCATTGAAGATGGTCATAACCCTAGCAGACCCGCCACCAATGAGGCGTTTTTCATCAACACATAAGAAGTCGGGAAAACAATTAATCCACCGCCCAAACCACCTGAACAGGCGTCAATCAAAAGAAGGCAGACGAAATCTAATGGCAGCACCAGAGGAGGTAAATGCTCTGAGATTTGGAAGGCTGTGGAAGCAATATTTATTGCAACCCCTTTCTGCAGATCTCAGTCGCTCAAAGCGACACAAAGAATGTGCTGCCACAAATCACCTGAGATAGAGACGAGGGAAGACTACCGAGCAATCATGAGAGCCCAGAAACATAAATGCACGGAGAGAGATGAAGAAAGGAATAAATTCTCTGTGCACAACTATCCGGCGAACCCTATACGCAAAGAGCTAATAGAAGGAGAAACTATCAGTGGAGGGGATAGAGTGGCCGATAGCTGCCAACATAAATGCCAAGAATCAGATTGCACGACAGTTAGATTGATTGGAGAGGGAGCAACCATGGTGCAATTAATGGGCAGCAAGCACAGAGAGCCACTGAGGCATACCAGAAGGCGTAGAAGGCTCGGAGTAGCCTATTTAAGGGAGGAAAAACCGATCAATCAATCATCTACTCTCATTTCCATCAAGGATACAAGCAGATATCTCAAAAGAGCTGCACCCAACCTAAAATCGACCCAGATCCCCTGCACAAGAAAAAACACCAGTCAACCAAAAATGGAAACACACCACAAGAGCCTGAGAGGGGAGAGGAGTCACCTCGTCCTCAATGTGAGACCTACCATTGTTGGTGCTCGAGGAAGTGGGATGGCCATGCTTCTGGGAAAGTGGATAACCGACACCAGCATCAACCTACCAAAAGCACGAAATGCGGCGGTCAACAAGTGGAGGGCATACGGAGAGGTGCAAGCAACAAAGGAAGCAGAAAACCTCTTCGTCTACTCATTCCAGTCGACACAGCAAAGAGACGCTGTTTGGGATGCCAGGCCATGGAACTTGAGCAACACCCTGGTAGCACTGAAGAAATGGGACGGTGAACAAAAGGCGGAACCATCAGACATACCAACTGTCGCCCTGTGGGTACAAATGCACGATCTACCCCAATCTCTCAAGGAGGAGGAAGCTATTCAGGCAGTGGCGGCCTTCATTTTCCCTCAATTCCACTGCATCGACCAATCAAACTTCGATTTCAGGGGATGGCTGAAATTTATCATAGCCAAGGTGGAAGTAAGCATCGATGACCCAATCCCAATTGGGTTCGAATACCCCATTGGGGATCGTTCCATCTGGGTCAGTTTCAAATACGAAAGGATAATGGATCTCTGCTATTTTTGTGGGAGACTGGGTCACCTCATCCATAACTGCCTTAATAGGGAAGAACACAGAAGGCTGGGACTCAGTACTGACCCATCGGAAGTTTACACCGATGCACTAAGGGCTGGCCACGACTCACCGGCAAATACTCCACCGACGTCCTTCAGGGAAAAGCTGGCGAAGTCCAAACGCCTGGCACTCCCTACCTCGGCGATGCAGCATATTCGCGGCAATCGAGGCGAATCTTCCCAGATTACCCTAGCGGGACTCCCAATTCTGGGACCGTTCAACAGCCCACCAGGGTACAACAGTCTGACAAGCAGTGGAAGAGAACCAGGCTGGGTTTTCAGAAGAGATGGCAGCACCCAGACCCATGTCCTACAGACTGCTCTACTAGAGATGGAAATGGAGGCTACGACCAGAGCTATGCAACACAGTCTCGACCTAGGGGAGAAGGAAGCCAACAAAGAAAAGATGGCGGGCCTCTTTGAAATGGGCCAATCTCTGTCACTCGCCAGCCCAACCTTTAGTCTTACTGAAGTAACCCGAGGCCCAGACATGTCGGCCCAACCCAACCAAGGCAACACCAATCAAGGGAACAACTACCAAGCCCAACCTCTTGATCTGATCATAGGGCCCATCGGAGCCTCAACCGATGTGGACCAGCCCAGACCAGAGAAGAAAAGGAAGCCTGATCACAGAAGCAGTCCTGCGGCCTCTTCACCACAACAGGAGGCTCCATCTAACATCTCTTTCAGTTCTATGTCTTTTGTTCCAGGGGAGAGTAAGCGAACCTACCAGCGAAGGAAGCACATTGTCAAGAGGAAGAGCTTAGCGGAGCTCACTGCGGAAGGATGTCAATCCGGAGAAGGGGAGTCAGCTACTCCGAGGGCGACGGCGGCAAGCCTCAAGCCGCCTCATCTCGAATGAGAATCCTCAGCTGGAACTGTAGGGGGTTCGGCCAACCCCTTACAAGGAGTTATTGCGGCAGGCTGTGCCGGCAATTTGGCCCCTCGGTTCTCTTTCTCATGGAAACAAGAAAGGATGAATCGTTTATGGAAGCAAGGAGGAAAGTTATGAAGTTTGAGCACTCGGAGTATGTCGGTCCAGAGAGGGAAGGCAGTGGCCTAGCCCTATGGTGGAAGGAAGATGTTACTGTTAATGTTTTAGAGTCTTGTAAGTCCTTGATGGACACCAGTATTAGCAAGGAGGGGGTTAGTTTTTTCTGCACTTTTGTTCACGCTCCTACCACGATGGTAGAGAGAAGACTCCTTTGGGATCGACTTACGTCCCTAAGGGAGAACCAGGAAGATAGGTGGCTGATTGTAGGGGACCTCAACGTTGCTGTTTTCCCTTTTGAGAAGCAAGGGAGGTGCCCCCTTAGGAATGAGAATGTCTCTCCTTTTAAATACTTTATTACTCGGAATGCCTTGGTTGACCTTGGTTTCTCTGGCCAAGTGTTTACTTGGAGCAACAAGAAACAAGGGGATGATCTGATTAGAGAAAGGCTTGATCGAGCTATATGTTCGACCTCATGGAGGACTTTGTTTGAGTCGGCCACGGTTTACCATGAAGACTTCGTGGAATCGGACCACTGCCCAATCCAGATTGACCTTCATCCAACAAATCAAGCACATTGCACTCCGTTCAGATTCGATAAAAGATGGAGGGAAAGTGAAGAGTGCTGTCAAATTGTTACTGATCGATGGATGAGAGGCGGAAATATCGATAATATGTTGATGGATTGCCAGAATGAGTTACAGAACTGGGCCATGACAGACAGACGAGCAAAGTTGAAGCGCGAAAGAGAAATTAGACAGAGATTACAAGTGTTACAAGGAGCAAGTGGATTCCCTTATAAGGCTGCTGAAGAAAGGAACCTCCATCAGGAACTCGAGTCCATCTGGGTTTCGGAAGAAAGTTTCTGGTTACAGAGATCGAGAATCTCCTGGCTCTAGGAAGGGGACCAGAACTCCGGTTTTTTTCATGCCAGTACCATAAGAAGGAAGAACAGAAATCGGATTGTTAAGCTACAAAATGCAGAAGGTGTATGGATTGACAATGCTCAGGAATTGAAAGATCATGCCACAGATTTCTATATCAACCTGTTCACCTCCAACAACAGAAGGTGTGACCCGAATATCCTTGAGGGCTTTCCCAGGTTGGTGACTGAAGAGTTCAATGATATTTTATGCTCCCTGGTAGGGAAGGATGAGATTCGGAAGGCAGTTTTTCAGCTTGGGGCTAGTAAGGCTCCTGGACCCGATGGCTTCCCGGGCCTTTTCTTCAGGAAGTATTGGAACACCATGGGGGACTCCTTTTGCCACGAGATCTCCAACTTTTTTCTGACAGGAGTAATGCCGGAGAACTGGAACAAGAACTTTATTACTATCATTCCCAAAGTGGACTCCTAGGAGTCGATCAGTCAGTTCAGACCGATTAGCTGTTGCAATTTTCGGTATAAAGTCATCACCAAAATTATGACGAACAGACTGCAGCCCTTGCTGCCTGAGCTGGTCAACGAACTCCAATCCAGGACAATATCATAATTGTCCACGAAGTGCTTAACCACTTCAAGAAACATAAATCAGGTAATAGAAGGGAGATGATGATGAAGCTTGACATGAAGAAAGCTTACGACATGGTGGAATGAGATCTCTTAATTTCCCTTCTGAGGGCTTATGGGTTCAATGAGGTCTGGTGTAGCTGGGGTTTACTCCTGTATTACAACGGCCACTTTCAACCTACTGCTGAATGGTGAACCTTCTAATGAGTTCACACCCTCCAGAGGCATTCGACAAGGGGACCCCCTGTCGCCCCTCCTTTTTATTCTCATGTCGAATGCCCTTTCATTCCTGATCGAAAAAGCGGTTCTGAGCAATGGGATCAAGGGCATTAAACTTAACAGATATTGCCCTACCCTGTCCCATTGCCTGTTCGCGGATGATACGGTGATCTTCGGGGAGGCATCCTGTGAAGAGGTAGGGAAGATTCTGGATATCCTCCATGAGTATGGTGCGGTCACTGGTCAAGAAGTGAACAGAAATAAGTCATCCATCTTCTTCAGCTGCAACGTTCCAATTGAAGAACAGGCAAGGATTGTTCTTGATTCTGGATTTGCACCCACTTCATGCCACTCCAACTATCTGGGAGGCCGACCGAATGGGGCAGATCAAAGAAAGAAACATTTCACTTCCTCCTCCAACACATGGAATCTAAAGGGGAAGCCTGGAAGAGCCTCCTCCTGTCCCCGGGAGGGAAAGAAGTTTTGCTCAAAGCGGTATTCCAAGCGGTCCCATCCTACATCATGAGCCTGTTCCTGCTGCCAAAGAGTACAACAAAGAAAATGGATTCCATGCTCAAATCTTTCTTCTGGGGAGGATCCATGACAAAGAAAACGATTCATTGGAGAGCAGGACAAGTTTTATACGCACCTAAAGAGGAGGGGGGACTCGAGTTCCGTCCTTTCCATACTTTCAATCTTGCACTTCTGGCCAAGCAAGCTTGGAGAATACTCACCAACAAGGATGCCTTGTGGGTTAAAGTACTGAAGAGTATTTATTTCCCCAACTCGGATTTCCTAAATGCAAAAAAAGGCAGCAGAGCTTCTTGGATCTAGTCCAGTATTTGTGAAGCGAAAAAGTGGATGCGACAAGGGTTGATCCGAGTGATTGGCAATGGCAAAACAACGAGGATCTTCCATGACCCCTGGAGATTTGATAGGGCAGGCCCCCTCCTCCAGTTTGACTGGAACGATAACTCTACAGCAGACAGTTGGATCGATGAGATTTCGAGGGAATGGAAATTCGACTTGCTAGCGGCTTTCCTTGGTCAACAGGACCTGAAGCAGGTGGCCGCGATCCCGATTGGGCCGGACTCACTGGAGGACTTCTGGGCATGGAGGTTCACTGATCAAGGAAATTTCACGGTGAAGTCTCCTTTCACCCAATTCCATTTTCATACCAGAAATGACAGAGGACGAACCGAGGAGTTTTCGTAGGCAAGCAGGAAAAGATGGAAGTGGTTATGGAGTCTTTCTATCCCTCCGAAGCTTAAATTCTTCGCGTGAAAGGTTACGAGAGGGGCTTTGGCTTCAAAAGAAAACCTGTTTGCGAGGAAATGTGCCACCTCAAAGGCTTGCCCGATATGTGGATTCTCGACGGAATCAGTCCACCACTGCTTATTTGCCTGCCCACATGCGGCGGAGGGATGGAACCAAGAGTGGCCTTCCCTGCCTCGACCTGCACCACTCTCTTCTTTCCTGGAATGGCTCGATTCCCTTCGACAGAGCTATCCAATCATAGCGATTCAGAAGATCATTTTCCTCGGTTGGCAGACATGGAAAACTAGGAATGAGAAGATCTTTAGGGATACGAAGCCATGGCCACCATCTACGATCACGAGGGCGGCGTCAGCCCATCTACAATGGACCACGTGCCCAAGGAGAGTTTCCGAAGGTCTCCCACCGCCTCAGCTCATTTCACCCCAGCAACACTCTTCACCACCGCCAGGTACTCATCACTTTGAATTACACTGCGATGGCTCGTTCTTTGACGAGCCCCAGAAGGCGGCATATGGCGTCGTTGTATCGAATAGCCATGGTCAAGTCTGTGATGGTAAAGCTGAGCCCATGCATTGTTTTTCCCCACTTGAAGCAGAAGCCTTAGCCCTGTTGGAGGGTTCCCGGTTAGCAGTTTCCCTCAGAGCTCCCTGCCTGCTGAAATCAGATTGCTTGCAGCTGGTGAAGGCAGTCCATAGCGACCCAAAGTCATGGACGTGGCGAGCGGCAGCAAGGCTGGGCAACATCAAGAGTATTCTTGAGGAGAACCCGTCCATCAAGCTGCAACACTTTAATCGAAAGAACAACTTCAAGGCTAATTGGGTTGCTAGATCATGTGCTAGAAATCAGTTACCATCTTAATGGTTACAAATTCTTGATGTAGTAGCTCCCCTGCTGTAATGACTGGTTTGTGCCACAGGTAATGGAAATCCAATGTCCTTTGTAAAAAAAAAAGAGTAATAGGTTATAAAGTAATAATTTATTCTGAGTTATTTTATAAAAAGAAATTAGAGGCTGAAGAAAGTATCAAACATTGCTCAATTGTTACTGCTGACTGCTGCCATTCGATATACATCGAAGAGGTAAAAAAAAAAAAAAAAAGAGAGAGAGAGAGAATCTATCGGTGGCGTCAGTTGGAAGAAAATGACTATTCCTGCCAACTCTTGTACTTCCTTCCCTTCCTTTCTATCTATCCGCCTCACTTTTTGTTCTCATTTCATTACTAGCTTTTCCTCTTAAGTGGAATGAAACTTTAGCCTATTGATGTTTACACCAAACGAATATTATCTAAATAATAATTAACATCAATGTTAACTTTCTATTAATATCTTTCGGTGGAGAATATTTGAACAGAAGTCTTACAGGTAGGTTATTTAATAATAGTAATCAAGATTTGCCATAGAGAAGTTCACCACAACTTAGGTTCTCGTTGATGTCACTCTGTTTGTGACCGTTCTGGTATCTTAAATCCATCTTCTGGTATATAATTAACATGCACACTTTTTTTTGTTTTGTTATTTTCTTTTGTTAATGGTGTCTTGTCCAATAAAGTGACGCTAGGCTGAACTAATCCCATGCTGCTAATCAAATAATGTCGAGTAATAGCTACTGCTTTACAGCGGGCATGAAGATTGGAGATTAATATTACACAAAAATTTGAAGATTAATTAATTTAATAGTAATCAAAAGTGGGAATCTATTTCCACAAGAGAATAGAGAATCTCCTCATCAAAAATCACATTACACATTTTCATCTTCTCCCCGCGCTGTGGAAAATGAAGGGTACAAAAGGGACCGCACTAATTACATTACTTAATTAATTAATTAATTAATTGAGAGTTTTCCACTGTACAAATCTCTACCTAATCTAATCCCCTTTTGGATCTGTGTTCGCGGTGCTATCGTCATTGAGCTGCTGGGAGTTTTATATATTTGTTTAGTGGGAGCAAGCAACAGGATTACGTAATTGTAAATTGGAGGAATCATTTTGATTAATTACAACAATGGAAAAGCAGGATTAATTATAATTAAATAAATAAAAAGAGGATGAGAGAGGTGACTTTTGTTGGTTCATTCACTCAGATGCATATGATCCAATAATTGCCTCCGCCCCTGTCCCCTAAATTTTATATACATGACATGAATAATAAATATAATAATTGAAATAAAAAGAAGATCTAAGTGATAAGGTACAATTAGCATATAAAGAATAAAAAGGTAATTTACATATACAGAGGGAGTCAGTCTTAATAATGAATAAATTAATTAGTTAATTTTACTTTAATTTACAGATAATTACCAGAGGGGGAAATGATCACATGATACTGTAGAAAGAGAGAGAGGGGAGATTCCATGTGATTATGGAAGGGTTATTAACTTATTAATTATTAACAAATTTAATTACATGTGATGGCTTGTGCAGTCCAACAATGTCTTTTTGGTTTAGTTTGTTAATTCACCTAAATAAATCGCCCAGCTACCCACCAGCAACCCTACAGCTACAGTGCTCTCCCTGAATAAAACCCCACAACACGCATACAATTATTCTTAATTAATAACATTAGGCCTCCTAATTAGGAGC